AAATTTGTTCGGATGGTTTCAGCTCGTTTAAAATCTTCATCGTATTTCCATAATATTTTTAAAACCAAAAATAATTTCACTTATCCGATTTACTTCATTCGTTAAGCCCAAGAATATTTCGGCTGCAAAAAAATTGACGTGATTTTTTCGGCGAATTATTTTCGATTAAGAAATCGGAAACTCTTCGCCAATTTTATTGCCAAAGATGGACAAAGTTTGCAAATTTTGCATCATCGAACCATTTTTAGCTCGAAAGGATTATATTATTTGTGAATGAGCTTTTGAGATCTACCACGATTTAGCGGATGCAGACGGACTGCTGCCGCATGAATGACAGCCAAAAACAAAAAGGTCCGTTCATATGTCTGTCCTAATGCCAATTAAATGTTAATTATAAGAAAGTAGATATTTATTCCGTTTTTTTTTGCACAAAAACGCGCTCTGCTCCACAATTCTTGAGATCAAAACCTATAGATAAATTAAACGCAATCGAGCTGGACTAAAGAACATTCGATGATATTCTTAATGAACAATCCATTTCAAATCAATTCGATTCTCATCAAGAGATCAGATCAGTCTTCTCAATTTCATTTGTCGTAAAACGTGCGCTTGCGGCACATTTAATTGATATATGTATGTATTGTGAAGCATGTTGCAATTCAAGCAACTGCAACTCTTTTTGACAGAGAGTGACTGAGTGTGTGTGTGTGTATAATTCAAACAATATGAACGTCTGTGCTCCGCAGTTTTGGCAGACACTTCTCGGAGTCGACCACTTCAAAATTTGCGAGTTTTCGGTAGTCGATGAAGGAGATCGCGTCCTAACGGTGGGGGGGGGAGAAGCTGAATGTACATACCATGTACTACACTACTGTTTGCCGAACTACTACAGTAACCGCTCAAGGCTCTCTCGATATCTCGTGGTGTTTCGCGGCGGGACCCTTCAAGTGCTTACGTGTGTGCGCGCGCGCGCGTTTCTACGAAAAATTGTTACTATTGCCTCGCATTTCCTTTCGTTCTATCTAATCACTGCTCTAATTGCGATCGTTTCGCGCCGGGGATTTTTGCTCGGCCGTCGAGATCGCTGAGATTTCATAGGGGTGGGGACCGAATTTTAATTAGAATCTGCGATGAAGTAGAAATCTGGAAATTTCTAATTCGAACGTTTAAAAGTAGGAATATATTCAAAATAGAACTCTCACATGTAAAATTAGTTAATAAAAAAATTATATATTTTTTCCATGAGACTTTTTCTCAACATTTGATCAATATTGCAACTAAAATGGGAATTCGTTAATTTATTATTTCAAAAATTTCATTAATGTGTTTCTCAGGACAAAATCTCATAAGTAGAAAACTAGAAAATAGTTGGAAGTGTTGTACAAACTTTAAAATCTCACACGAAATCCGCGCATTTCACAGGCGAAAGAGGCAGAATAAGTAAGATTTTGGAATTCAATAGGGCTACGCAGATTTTAGAAGAAAATTCGAAAAACTAAAAAAAAACTAATTTTTTTAAACCCAATCCGCATATGGTCTTCACAGTTTTTCGATAGTTTCTTACCGATAATAAATCCCTAAAATGACAGCATCAAATCTTTTCAACAGATATTTTTTTTTATTTTTATTATCATCATCGCAAAAAATATGAATCCTGGGTATGGTAATAAATACATATTTCAGTCCGTTGTATACCTTAATGAACGCTGATCTAATTCAAATTTGAACTACCATAAAAAGCGTGTAAATTAAACACGCTCGATTTTTGCGATTACAACGCTTATTAATTTATTTATTTGCAAAATTGTCAAATCTTTTGTCAATATTACCCAATTCAACGTCAAATATGCCAAATTTGAAGCTGAAAATAAATATTTCGATTTTTTGGATTATGCAGAAACTGGATATGTCCATAATGTGTACTTTGTATGATTCAATTAATAAAAAAAGAGCAGCAATATTAAATTTAGAACAAAAATTCTTAAATTCGAGTGTTTTCGTATTTCCGGAAATGACAAATATCGGATATAATAAATCGAAGAAAATATTTTCAAATTTTCGAATAATTCAAATTTTTTTGCAAGAGGAAGGAAGTGAATTGTTCGAAGAGAGGTGTGAAATTTCACAAAAAAACACACTTTGATAGGAAATGAAGTAAATTCATGCTCACTTCCTGAGCACAATATTGCTCCCCGGTTTTTTCGTCACTGAATCGAAAAAAAAATGTAGGGCTCTTTTACTTCAGCTTATGATTGTCGTGTGGAGCGCGAAAAATAAGGACCGGGACTCGCTCGTTCGCAGGCATTCTTTCAGAGCATTCAAGGAATGACGACAAAAACGATTTATTGCTCAAATAAAATAGGGTACAATGAGATGCTATTTCCAGAATAAACTGTTCGACTTCTGATATTCTTTTTCTCGCAAACTCAGAGTCTTCGATCGCTAATATTTTCAGTTGCTGTTAAAAAAAAAACGTCGACAGATTTCAACTCTTCCTCCACACTGCTAATAGGATTTTGGGTATTACATATAATGATTAATATACATTTGAGTCTTAATCAGCTCAACAGTCGACAGCCATCGAGGATAAATAATAAACTATGCAAAACGTATGCCACACTCAGGTAAAGATTTATTGAGAAACTAACGTGTTTCTATAACAATTTAGATTATCTCAATCAATTTTAGCAATTATCATAAGATTTTAGAATTTATTGAGATAATTCAGAATTTGCTCAATAAATTTTAGAAAATCTTATAAGATTTTAAAAAGTATTTTTTTTAAGTTTATCGAATCTCAATAAATTTTAGAAAGTATCAAGAAAATTTAGAATTTCTCATAATATTTTAGATGTTATTATTGAATATTTGATTTTCAAAATATTTTATTTGATTTGCCTGAGAGCCTGGAATGACAAATTACGGAAACACTTGATTTCAGTTTCTTTTTAAAGAGAATTCAAAAATTATTAATCACTCAAAAAAAAAGATTACGATTATTATACGATAAGTCGGTCAATTGAAAGGTTTGACAGGAAGAAATTGAATGACAAGCAAAGTTTAACGAGATGAGATTTGGGTGCTTCATTTCGCCTCTTCGCAATAATTTGCTTTCGTTTTAGGAAAATTCCAAATAAATTGAGCGAAATAGAGAGCGAAAATTGATGGGGGGAAATTTGAAAAAAAAAATTTTCTGCGATCGTAAAATGCAAATTTTTGGCACGTTGTCTATGTGGCGATGACGGCGACGAAATTGAAATAGAATTCGATAGAAGACCAACAACGAAAAAAGACAAAAAAAACGAATGTGCATCACCTTCTCCTCTAATTGCATAATTCGGAGAGTCCAAAAGGGTGGACTAAGGAGAGAAAAGCACGGGACCGATGGAAAAACGAGCAGATGTGGAACATCTCTCCGGGGAATTGAGAACAAAAAATCTCAAGGAAACTCTTTAAAAATACATGTTTCGATTATGAATTATTCAATTTTTCTGGAATATTCCTAATAAAGAAAAAACAACAAATAAGACTTTTCCTCAAAGTTATTCGACGATTTCAATCGTAACTTAATAATACTACGCATTTTACGAATGTCATGAAATTGTTTGATCAAGATTTGAGGAAGGGTAGGAGGGTTGCAAAGTAAGCAATGTTTGGAGAAGTATTTACTCAAAATGCGATAATAAGGTTTACTTGATGAAAATTGCAGAAATATTGAGCGCAGGGCATCGAATCGTAGAATTAAAAAGGAAAAGCTCGACGATAAAGCGTGAGACCAAAAAAAATTAAATGATTGGTGGGACGGTATTTCCAGCGCGTTCAATTTATTTCTAAATATGAATTTCTCATTTTAATTCTTCGAATATATGCATTTTTGTGTTTTTTATTAAAGAAGCAGATAGAATCATTATTGGCAGACTTCTGACTTCAAATTAAGGTGGTGAATTAATTTTTTTTTCACACCTAAATTGCTATAATACTTCAACATTCTCACAGTGAAATTTTCAACGACCAGATGAATTTGCGAAAACTGGCGCGGAAAAGTCGAAAATTTAACAACGGAACAGGAAAAAAACGGATTGAGTGAGTGGGAGAGAAAGATTAGAACCGACGAAAATGATTAATTACACTACGTTGAGTTCGCAGGATTTCGAGTACTACGTTCAATGAAATCAAAAAAAATGAGGGAAATTTCTTTTTTTTTCTTCAATTTTCCAATAGAAAAAAACTATTTAAAAAGGTGAAGAAACAAGAGAAAACATACGAGGCAAAAGGCGCAAAATGAATTGGTTTGCGCGTCGGTCATGAGCCCCGAAATGAGTGTATGCGGCGCCCTACGACGGCTAATAATTCAATTTTAGCGGTGACAAGTTGCGCAATTCAAACCAAAATTATAAATTGCACGAAAGCTGGAACTCATTATCAAAAATGAACGCTTGCATATACATATAAATAAAAACGTTTGGCGCTGGCCGGGTTGTCATAGTCACATAGGCTCTTTAAATTCAGCGAGTTGTTATTTTTTTTTTCTTCGTTGCTTATTGTGCACCATTTTTGCGCCTTAATGTCAGCCTTAATATTTCCCAGCAACACTTTGAGATTCTAGTATATACATTAATATTCAATTTATTTTTCAAAATTGTTAACAATTTTCAAAAATATACAAAAAATGCCATAAAAAGTGCAATCAAAATGTGTGCAGCCATTTCGAAAAATTCTGATTTCAATTCGTATTTGCAAACGGCACATGAATAAATAAATAAATAACACTTCTTAAAAACTCTTTTCAGAATGCGCAAATAAAAGAAAAAAGTGATTCCACATTACCTTTTATTGAAAGACGTTCTTTTTTCTGCATAGACACAATAATACCTTGTTGAGCATATTTTGCAGTACATAGTTATCGCGAAAGTGAATAACAAACAATCAAATGCGATTTTCGCATACTAATAACAAATAAAAATATTAACCCGTCACGAAATATATAATTCTTTAATAAATTAGTCTTCTATCGGCTCATCATGCATCAAATTCTTCAAAAGTCGCCGTTTGTAAACCAGGTTGTAGCCCTGAAATGAGCTCTCAAATTATTATTTCGTTCCAAGTGAATTTCAGCTCAAATTCGGAACACGAGATTTTTGAAAACTGAGACAGCTCGAAACACATTTAAAAACGGCTTAATCTATGAGCTATCGAGAATTGAGAGAGCTTTCACCTGTTTCGTAATTCAACAAATCATTAACATGTATTTATCGTTGTGTGATTAACATCGTTTAACTCTCAATTAGGAAAATGAAATTTTTAAAAACTTCTAAGAATATCTAGTAGCTTCAAAGAATTAAACTTGGAAAATTTAAGCAATATTTACCTGATTACAGCAAAGCCTTGAGCATTGAGTATTTGTGAGGAAATTATTTAGCGAGTTGCTCGGATTATTGCGACAGTTCTGGTAATTGAACCTGCATAATTATTATTCATACATATGCATATTTGTTTGATTCGTAAACCTAATGCACCTATCTGCAAGTGGATCATAAGTGAATCGTATCTCCTTAATTGGCTCAAAATTCGGCGCATTGCATACCGACAATGCCGGCCTGCTTTGAAGGCAGTAATTCACTGAAACATATCATTTACTTTTGGATTGTTGCTTTCGAATTAAAAAGTACTTGGTGAAGGACAACAATAGGCATGTTCTCCGACTGGAGTACACACATGATCTCCAGGGCATTTCGCTGCTCGTCGATAGTCGCATTCAATGGGCGTGCCGTCGATCGTGACGAGAGGATCGCCTTGCGGGCACATTTGTCGAGGCAGGAATGAGAAATTGATTTGCGATTGAGTTGACGTTTGAGGAAGCGACGCTTGTGGCAGATTGTTTTTGGCAAGTGCTACAAGTTTTTACACAATTTTATGTAATTATAGTTTTTCAGCGAATAAAAAATATTTAAATTTTCGCCGTCGCAATTAGGCAATTGTCAAATTCGAATAACGTCAAAATCAGCGTTATCGCGCTAAAAATGGACACGATTATTTTTCACAAATAATTGTTCTCTAAATTTTTCGTATTTTTTGTATTTTTTTTTTCAGCAGTGATAATAATACGTTGAGCACTTTTTTCCTAGCAATTTTCAATAAAATAAAATTAGGTGTTGTTTGTCTAATTATTGGCTTGTAAAAAAATAACGTACAGCTGAATTTCACTCCATTTGCAACACAGACTTCAAGGCATTCCGTTAATGTTTCGAAATTATTCGAATTTCCACCCTCTCCCGAATAAATGAAATGAAGGCATTGGCGATATTCCTGAAAAAAACGAATAAAATTTATTTGATCTTTTTTAAAGCCATTTACAGGCGAATAGAAATATCTCGAGATGTATTGATCGGCGTGGCCACTTTCTGCAGGTTGTGAGCATCTTCCTGTTTGCTCTTCTGAATGTTTAGCTTAAAATTTTTTGTTAAATCAATTAATTCCTACTTTCACATCTATTTGAACAATCATTTTTGGTTAAAAAGTTGTTCATATTACCGCCTTGCCCTTTATATAAGAATGACGAACATTGACCATTTGAAAATGCCCAACGATGCTCCGAAGAAAGACCGAATCCTTCATCAATTGGTTGCTCACACACATCTATCAAATAATCAAGAATCCCGTTTTTGGAATACATTTAACCTACTAGGCGCCACAAAATCAATGACGAGACTGTTTGGCAAGCCAGACGGAATCGAGTTCGACGCCGGTGCCAATGTTGGGAAACTCGCCGACGGATCTGTCGGACAGCACAGATTGTGCGGCGTTGAGAGAACACAACTGAAGACTGGCGGACAATCCGAATCGAATGAACACGAGAGAAGGTGATTGTGAATGGCGAGTTGGGGTGTGCCGCGGGTGCACACATTGGTGGCACCACAAGCTCGTTGGCAGTCATCGAACAACAGGAAATTATTTTGATTTCCCTGAAAATATTATTCAATAAAAATATGATGTGAACTTGAGATTTATACTTTGAATCCTCTGAAAACAAATGGCTGACAGAGGCGAGTTGCTGGATCGAAGTACCATCTGCGAATTTGCGAATTTCCTATGCCTTCTTCTACTGATTGCTCACATGGTGGTTCATCTGAAAAGGTTATCAAGTTAGTAGCATGTTCGGATATCCCTTAAACCTAAGATTGGACAGCAAATACTCTGGCCTTGCCCAATTTGGCAGAATGTACCAAATGGGCACACTTCGGGTCTTGCCTCACACATGATAGTTGCGTCTCCGAATACGTGCCTTCGACATGGCGAATCATTTGAAATTGATGTAATAAACTGCAAATTGTATCATAAAGACTGTTTGTAAAGAGTGTTGAATATACTTTATGATTTGAAGGAGGAAGTGTCGAAGGTGGAGGAGAGAGAGAAGGCGGAAGAGGTGGTGGTGTGGTTGTGGTTGTAGTAGGAGTAGTGGTGGTGGTGGTGGCGATGGTGGTTGGACTAGTGATTGGAATGAAAGCTGATGGTGTAGCGGCAGGGAATGGAACGTAGGGATCCGGTTTCACATAAGCGTTGGGGAAATATGGAGCAATCGTGGTTTGATTATTCTCGAAGCCCGAAAAGACGAATGTGAACATTGGGGATTCCGTTTGAGAATGGGGCGGAACTGGGACGGTCGAGTAAACCCTGGAAGCCGATACCTGCTCCGGCAATTGAATAACCGGCGGGAATTGCGGCATTGGGTATTGATTAATTGGAGCAACTGTCTGTGGAATTGGAGCAGCTGGTTGTGGAATTGGAGCAAGAGGTGAGGCGGGCTGAAAATTACGATAGACCATTAAATCAAGGAAGCAAAAGAATTTTCGTCACCTGCACTCCATACCGATACGAATTGTGGGAATTCATAGAATATGGTGGTAGAGACTTCTCCATTATATATTCATGAGAGGACACCTTCTGTGTGGTGGTCTCAACTGGATTGATTTCAACCACTTTTTGTTCTTGGGACGTCATTAAAGACGAAAATACGCGATCAGCAATTTTGGAAGCAGGCTGCTGAACAATTGGACTGATTGTTGGGAACTCTTCTGTAACGTTTCAGATAAATTGAAGTCGTTATACTACAATTGCATAAGAAACGAGCACCAGGTAGTACGGCACACAATTTCCCACAATTTAAATTCGAATTTTAAAAAAAGACGAAAAATACGATGGTCCACAAATACCGAGGGTGCTCGCACTGTTGCAATGGAAATATGTTTTTTCAAGACCTCCTCTAGGGGGATATATAAGCGTTGGATAGGATGATGGAGTGGTCTCCGCATAGACTTCTTCGTATGGCGCAACCGTAATGAATGAGCTTCTTATTGGCTCTACAGTAGTGAACTCTGAAATTACGTAGCAAATGAATCACTTTGAATATGTCGAATTGATTTATACCAAACACATTGGTGAATTCTGGAACAAGATTCTGAACAATGCGCATTGTAGGTGGATGAGTTGTCGTGTCTGGAACGGAAACGGTGCTGAACGTCTCGAAAGAGGCACTCGTAGATATGTATTCGGGAATATTCTCCTTCTTCTTGGTTTTTTCTAGAAAAATTATTCAAATATTTTCAAGACCCGCATTTGAATTCCCTTACTTCTGAGACACAACCGTTCGCATTTATTCTTTTTATAAAATCGATTACTGTTTCCATTGCGTCCCGAGTAGAAGAACTGCTCACACTTTTTTGTCACTTGATCGAAATAATATCGTGGAATATTGAAGGGACCATCTCCAACCGCCGGCGGCTGCTCGCACGATTTTCGCGTTGGTTTTCCAATGCCACAAGTCTGCACACATTCTTCAGACGTCGAAAATCGATTCGAGTTTCCACCACTTCCAAGATAGACAAATGGGCTGCACGAGTGTGAAGACGAGTCAAAATACCACCTAAAGTTGGTATTATTGGCAAAACAATGCATTTCGAATTGAAATTTACATTGAGACAACCATTTGTCCAGCTTCTCCCTTGTCTGGAGCAATATCACAAGGATTTGGATCAATCGGGCGGGGAGTTGTGGTGGTGGTGGTGGTGGTGGTGGTGGAAGTAGATGTAGTAGTTGATGTCCTTTGAGAAGTAGTAGCGGTTGTGGCAGGGGTTGTTGGCGTGGCAGTTTGTGGAGACGCTGTATAGAACACCTCAACGAGTTCTTCCTTTTTAGGAGTAGGTTGAGTAGGAGGGGCTAGTGAAACTTTCGAAGCAACCTCCTTTGGATAGACAACCTTTTTCTCCTGAAATTTGTGATTTTTAGAGCTGTTGTGTGAAAGAAACCTTTAAGTTATCTTTTGGAAGAATTTTCATGTTACTTGGAAGCAGAATTGGCGGCTCGCCAGCGCCTGAATTGAGAAAAAACAACGTGTGTTAATTTTTATTTTAAAAACTCAAACCTCTACAAGCCGTTTCACACTTTTCATAATCCATAAAACTGTTCTCGTTTCCACCAATTCCCGAATATTGGAGCTCGTGACAAGCATCAGTTTTCCAATCGAAATAAAATCGCCTCATTCGCTGTTTGCCATAGCCTACTGCCGGAGGCAAATGGCATTTGTTGGCGACTAGAAAAACGTTAATTTTCAAACATTTTATTAAATGATGAACTGATTACATTTTCGACTGCTTGGACAACAATAAAAACTAGCTTCGGATTGGCCTTCGTGACACCAAAATCCTGTAGGACATCTGTAAATGTTTTGGACTTTGAGAAATGAAATGAGCCAAAAGAAGTCTGATAAAATTTCAACGTCAAGAAAACCGAAAAATGGTGAAGTGTGAGACTTACTTATGCTCTGGAAGCCACGGTCTTGGCTGGCAGGGTCTTGGCTTGTGGTCCTCCATTAACAATGGAATTCCATCGGCACAAAGCAAGGAGAAATCTGTAATTTATATTATATACAAAGTGAACAACGCGTATCATAAATTCTGCCAGTCTTCTAATTTTGAAATAATAATTTTGGACGCCACAAACCTTCATAATTGACACTTTTTACAACTTTCGGACTTTTGACAATTCGATCTGTGAAAATCGGCGCAACACCGCCAATAAGTTCAATTAATAGAAAATAATGAATCATCTTGAATCGTCCATTTGGGCGTTTTTTGTTTTCGCAAAGTATATCGCTAAAAACAATCGTAGAATGTTATGAATCGCATAAAAAATCGAGGAATTAACAAGCCGATGAATAATGATGGGTATTGAATTTCGAGAAATTGAATCACAACGAATATTATTATGTGCATGAGCCAAATAAGTGAGATCGCGGGGTTCGCGGGATTGAAGATGAAGAAGCTTGTTTGTTTTCGCGCAACAACAATACCGCGCCGGTGGTGGCTCATTGTTTTGCGCGGATAATGAGATAGCCTCGAGATACGATCCATACGCGATCCAACCGGAGAATTTTTTGATGACCGAACAATCAACAGTTGTTCGACGGGCAACTGGCATTTCGGAACAATAACAAATATTACCCTTCTTGGAAATCGTTCACATTGTTGAAATTATATTTTGACAATTGAGCATTCTTTGTAAATGTATTTAATTTTTATATGTATTTATTTGTTCGAAAATATAAAGAAAAAATGATTAGGTAAGAGGGATTGCTGAAGACTTTGTGAGAACTTTCGATAAGTTTTCATATTTGAATAAGTTTTATAGGGGCTTTCCAGTATTTTAGGCTAAATTCCATTATTTATGGATCTGTACTGACGAGTTGAATAGGTTTACAAACAAGTCCGTGTGAGACTGTACAGAATGCTAACATCACACTGAAATCTATTAAAAATCTTTTTGTAAAAATTATCAATTTGAATAAGTTATCAATGATCGAAAATCAATTCGCAAAAAAAAACAATGAGATATTTCGAGAAAAATGAAAAGACGGATAGTGGTGTGAAGTGGGCGTCAGAATCTTGACCGGACCCCCCCCCCTCCCGGTGTCGACGACCATGATTGTCACTCGAGTATTTTCAACGCACTATTTCTCATTATATCATTTTGCGGCTCTCGAACGACGATTTCACGAGCTCACCGTCGCGAGCACATCGCCCAAAAATAGACAATTGCCGCGGCGAGAAGCGCAGAGTGGGTCTTCTTGAAACTGCGAGCAAACGAGCGACTGATCGCTTGTTGAATTTTTGTTTTGATTGATATTCAAAATAAATCCCATACTCACCGAATACATTATTATCGATACGCTGCTGGCCTTTGAGTGCTCGATCCTGTTGGGGAGGCGGATGCACTTTGACATGAAACAGACTGCCGAACAAGCCGATCTGCTGAAGTATTGTATGATTAGGGGGATTCTCATAATCCCTTCAACGGTTTCAATTTCTTTTCTATTCCTCTTATGCCTTCAATAATTAGATTATTCCATAAAATAAATTGTGACTTTAATGTGCAGATTTTGGGAAAAAATAAAAAAAATTGGGTAAAGCTAGTAGAAGAAGCAAATAAAAATTAGCTTACCTTTAAAGCACTTGCCTGCGTTAATAATGCATTCACCAATATTAACGTCAATATCATTATTTTTCGTCATAAATTCATTCCACTGATGATACTGAAAAGATGTGTTTTCAAATTTCTGCGAAAGTTGAAAATAGGAATAAGACGATGCATTAATTTAAAACTAAAATTTTCAATGCGTGTCGATTGGATAGAAGGCACTCGGTTATTTTTTATGTGTTTAGTACATTATCCTTAAATAAACAGTCTACGTTTACCGATCAATTTTTTAACCACAAATTTTTGACCAAATGTACCCGATGTTCTGGACTCATTATTAATTTGTTAGTTTTATAATATTAATATTAATATTATATAATTATAACATTTTACAATGTTATTGAAAAAAAAATGTAAAAGCTTCTCATACAACATTTTTCATTCTTACGATTATAAAGTGAATAACAATCATTAACATATTCGAAATCGACATGGCATTCGTTGAACGTGTTCGGTTCTGATTGATAATCAACCAACAAACCGTCCATCGCCAAACATATGTATGTCTTTCAACTAAATATAAATATTTATCTACCGATACCTCTAAATTGTGTTTAGCTATGTAAGAAATATTAAATCTAAGTCAAAATATTCAAATAACTCAAAATCAATCGGATCCGCCAAAATTAGGCTCCGGAATCAATCGGAATCGACTGCCAATTTTGCGAATAAATTTGTGAAATTGTCGAATTCGATTGATTTTAGGGTATTTTTGAATCCGATTCAAATTGGAAAATGAAAACAAATCGGATTCGAAAAGAAATTACCAATATGATCCGAAAATATCAAAACGCAAAATTACCAGCCGTATCCGATTAGTTTTGAGTTATTAGAGCAAGTTTAATTGGGAAAATGCAGGAAAACTTAAGATCTCAAGTTTTTAGATCTGCTTTGAAGCTCACGAAAATGCTGTTATAAATAGAAAAGTTGCTCGATTACAAACTACAAGCGTCGATCCGCTGTGGATCACTCAAAACCGGATAACAACATCAAAACCGAACACGTTCAACAAATACAATGTCAATTTCGAGTACATCGAATTGAAATTGACCAACATCACATCTCAAGTTTCGTTTTCTTGGCGGTGAAGTGACAAAAAACCGAAAACCAAGCGAGTTCAAATTGGAATGAAACCGCCACAAGAAGAATAAGAAGCGAAATGAACTGAAATGACAAACAAAACGGAGCAGCATGAATGATGAGCCTGACTAATAGGGTCTCGGTGCGAACAAGAGTCGAAGCGCGCCCGGGAGCCGAACTGCAAACAGCTTGAACTCACAGCGTATTTATCGTGAAATTATAATACCACTGAATACAATTATGAACAAAATAAATTAGTCGATGGGTGTGTGTGTGTGTGTGTTTGTGGATTGCCGGGCTTCAATCGGCCAGGCGATAGCTGGCGACGGGGAAAAATAGAACACATGAAACATTATTTAAATTTCAGTAATAATGGAATATTTGGATAGTATATGTTGGAAATAATCATAATAACACGATGAAAAAGCAAGATCGAAGTAGATTAATGTCCATACTTCTGGAATTCCCACTCGCGGTTGTCTAGTGGGCACACCTGAAGAAATAAAAATTTAAAATAGAACTCTCTTTTTTTAAAGGTTATATGTTTAATTATAGTCGGCGTCCGGGGACTGCTGTACGCGGGTAGATTTACACGCGTGCGCCTTGAAAAGGTCTCGTAACGCATGAACGCTTATTTTTTTGTTTTCGTGGGAACGGTTAATTTTTTCTTGATGAGTTTCGCATTTCCTTGAATTTCCAACATCATTCGATTCAAAATTATCGAACAGGTCCATAAAATTAGGGATAAATTATTGTATGAACCAAAGTGAGCTTTCATAGATTTAGTCAATGTTGACATTGAAAAACAGACGGATTTTTACAATAGAATATCCAACTTGCTACCACGGATATTTGTCTAACGTGATGTTCTTTAAGTATTTTTTCAATCTTTCGACCAGAGTTCGGAAAAATTGGTTGTGAAAAATTAATACAATCGCAAAAACGGAAACCCTGGCTATTTTATCATTTAACAAATTGTGGAATAGAAAGTGGGGAAGTTTCGATGAAACGCCGGTGAAAAGAAATGTCTCCGTCTCTCGCAATCACACACCGTTTCGCCAGCGTTTCACCGGAACAATAAACATCACAGCAAATAGAATTTTTCTATTCGAAACACTTTTCTACCTGACGAGTCTTGAGCCAACGAGAAATGCAGTGAAAGTGAAACGCGTGATTGCAGTTACCCCAAGCGACTGTGCATTCTTCTTTGGTGCCGGATGCCTGAACGCGTTGAATTAATAAACTAATTCTACAAATTTTTGAAACCTGATTAGCCTGACACTCGATGCAGAGATCCATAATGTGATTGCGACAAATAGCGCAATTGTCGACTTGAATGTCCCAAGCCCACAAAGCAACAGCGCTCCACTTTTTCACCTGAAACAAAATAATGAGGTTTGTTTTCTTATATTTAGATAACCTCGAAGCGCTTCTTTGTCATAATCGCGGCCGCTGCCTCCTCAATCTCCATAGCGTGGTCTTGTTGAGCATCGGTCATTTTTCTCTGTTTAAGTATTTGGAAAATATGATAATAAAAATGGCGAAACCGCGTAAAATGTATCAAAAATTAATTAGAAATGGAGCGCTCTTGTTGAATAAATTTTAAGAAGGCGTTTTGAATTAATTTCGAGAACTTATTTAATTGAAAGTTCCTATATTATCGTTTTTCTCATAACAAAATTATTTCAAAATTATATTGGGTTCATTTTTTTATAATTTGTGAATGCAAATGGATTGGCATTTAAAATTTACTGTTTAATTTTGACGCGCTTTGCGTTGACAATCATAATTTTTCAAAATTCGTTGGTTGAAATAAGAAAAACAAGAAGAAATGAAGACGCTATTCTAAAATCAGCAAAATTTGAAGAGAAATGTGTGCATGCGTCGCATTTGACGCATTTACGCACAAAGACTACGGTACTCAGCAATTTTTTGAATTATCTGCTATTATTCGCTGAAATTTCGCCTCAAGTTGCGCAATTTGGATAAAAACAGGTAAGTGGATATTTGAATCGAGTATAATAAGAATAAAACAAAAAATATCTTGTCTTACCAGCGCTTTATCGAATGAGTTTTGAAGGTGGCAAGTAATTAGATAAATTATTTTGTAACTTTTGTATTGCGAATGGTTTATTGCGTAAAAATAATGAAATTTATTCAACAATTGCGAAATTTTCTTCGGTATCGTCTTCGTCATAGAGATTTTGTCCGTCGTCTTTTAAATTTTCCGACTGCGCAGTGTTTTCCTTAGAAAAAAACAAATCTTAAAATTAAAAAAAAATCGCTCGATATTAAAACCTCATAGTCAACTGTTCCAATAACAGGTTTACCATCGCTAATTCCCATTAGTTGATATTTCTTCTCGCTAGGAAAACATTTTTCAGTGATTTTTTTCAATTTATCAGCCACAGCTTTTCTGTTGTCGATTAGGACCGACATATCGATAACTCCATCTTTGTTCGAATGATGCGATTTCACATGCTTGGTCACGTCCGATCGAGCAATCGTGTTCCATGTACGATCGCAAATTGTACATCTGTACATTTCAAACTTTCCATGCCTTGTGTTAGCATGATAAACTTTCGATGATCGTTGATTAGCAACCGTTTCACCACACATTTTGCATCGAATGCCGGGTTTCTTCTAAAAACTATTGAGTCATTTTAATTTTAGCTGTTTTAATTACCAATATATCTTTTTTCGAACTGAATCGTCCTGCCTTTTTCATTAAAACTTCTCCAACTGTCAAATTCGAATATTCTGCAAAATGGATTTTTTTTAATTTAAATAAACCACGGAAATTACCGTCAGGAACCATTATTTCATTCTGAATAGGCGACAGGTATGTAGATGACGTAGGCAGTGATGGATTTTGGACTTGCATTGGTGACATATTAGAAGATGTTGGCATTGCAGAAGATACTGGAAGCGGAAGATCCAATTCTGGCTCGTACTGGAATAATTAATATTTGTTCATCAATCCAAACATATTCTTTTTAATTGCATTTTTCGAATAATATCCATTTCTATTATTTTCCGGGGAAATGACTCACTTTAATAACGCTGTTTATGTTAGCTTCGTTATTTTTGGAAATATGTATCGATGCTTGTAACTTCATGTTGAGAATATCCTTCTTTTGAGGAACTTCTTCGTTATAGCGATATTTAACGACGAATTCTGTCATTCCGTGGTCTCCTCTGTAATGTGCGATGAGAGTATACTCAGTTGGAAATTTCGCGTAACGGCATTTCTCGCATCTAAAAATATTTGCAAATCAACGAGTATACGGCGTTTTTTGTTACTCATATGGGAAGAAATTGAGATGGTCGCTGGCGATGTGGGCCTCAAGTTCGCAAACTGTTGGAAACAAGGCATAAGGTGATTGTAGACAGTCTGCGCATTGAAACATTCCTCTGTAAGACAACATTTAAGAATTCGATTGTTTTTCTATTTTTCAATATGTTATAGGCGAGCATGTGGAGTGCAAATTGAATTTTTCGGCGAAGATAGAATTTCTGCAGTGTTGGGTGCGAAAGTGGTGATAATTATACCCCTTCGTTGGTCCCAAAACTATATTCCACTGATTTGCTTAAATGCAAGGAAAGAGAGTTTCGATAATTCAATGTTTGATCAAGGAAGCAATTTAAGATTAATTTTGGTCAAACTCTTAAAAATGTATTTTTCATTTCTGGGGATTTCCAGTTTTAATGAAAATTGGCCGTGGCCGAACTTTTGAGTTAAAAAGCTAGTCCTTCTTCGCATTTCAGTTTTTTATTAAAAAAAATAATCTGTGAGTTTTCGATAATCTTGGTCAATATAACAACTACTAAAAAGAAATTTTAACAGAATTTGCGTAAAACCAAGTACGTGTTTCAAAAATTGAGCGAACAGGGGCGTGAGAGATACGACGAAGAAAAGGAATTTGAGGAGGGAATCTTCCTCTCCGCGAAAAGAGCGACGGCAGAAGAGACTAGCGACAACGAGAGAAAGAAAAAATAGCGAGTGGCAGAGTGGGAATGTGGAAGCGCAGAGAAACGAAACGCGGTTCGACGTATACGAAAAAGGCGGCAATTTTTGGCGAGAGAAACGTTCGGCTTGATATGGGATCAGTTACCAAATAATATTTTTTAAAAAATGACAAGGGAAAAAGGAAAACTTTATTAAACTTTGTGACTTTTTAAAATACTGGGAGAAATTAGTCACTGAAGTCTATTATTACAATCGTTCATTCATTTTATATTCATTTTGATTATTGCTCTTAATTGCATTCATATTGAGTGAATTTTGAGTCTTACTCTGGAATTGTTTATGCATTTCACTAAAACTCTTTCGAATACCGAATTTTCAATAGTTTTTCTTTTTGTCAGACCATCCGACTCGGCCGGAGGATATCTATTAGATTTTGGTCTTGTCTTGGGTACGTCAGTCTAAATTAAATTTATAAATAAATTCAACGTAACATACCTTCAAGGTAGTAGTTTCGGCGCTTTTCTGAGTTTTCTTCACCTCTGCGATACTATCTGTTGTCTTAGTATCAATATTAAGCGCTCGTTCTCGTTTAGCCTGCAATTTTAGATTTTCAAATAATATTTAATCTATTTTTTTTTTTAACATCTTCGGTTTGTGGAGTCTTCTTTGCCTGTAAAACAGATTTAATTCCTGTTAAGGTCTTCTGAAGTGGCGATGTTACTGGACCAGCTGGTTTGGCGTTTGGAAGAAGTTTTTGATCACCAACGTTAATTGATATTGTCTTTGAACGCGATCCACGAACTTCTTCGTCTAAAACAATAGGGAAACAACTTCAATATTGTTATTATTTGAATTTTGCCTCCAAAAAAGTCGTAAAGCAATTCGATATCGGAAGGCGGTACTGTAACGTCATCCGGATATCGATTCTCCTTTTGTCGAGTGATTTCAGCAAAGTGAGACTTCATTGTGAAGTTAGCCGTCGACAAATTCGCATTGCAAATTGCGTGACAAATACCCATTGGTAATAAAATTTGAAGGGCCTTGTTGAAAGTTATTCAATTATTGTTTTTGGTCTTGGAATACCTCATCTAAAACATCGACGACATAACGTTCAACTTCACAAATGAACATTCGAAGCATATATACTCGATATGTGGCGTATAGGGATGCAATAAGTGACATTATTGAAACGAATATTGCAAAAAACCAAAGAAGTGCTATAGCTGTTGTACTATGATCTGATGTGGGTAACTGAAAATAACATTTAAACGATTTTCAAAATTGTCATATATATTTATATAACATACAATTGTATGGCTACCAACTGTTGCATTTGATATAACTGTGTTTAACATTTATCGATACCTCAAGTTTTTCTCATATTATTTGTTTAGAAATGAAATGTATTTTAGAAATCCTTGACTGAAATGAGCTCTGGTTTGGCACACGTGAAGAATATCCCGACAGAAATCAGGTATTTTGTTTTAATTTTATTATTCTATTAAATAAAATGATTAAAATTTTAAGCAAAACTATAAATAAAGCTTTAAACCCAAAGACGTTCTCTTCCTCCAATGAATTGAGTCGGTATTTGCTGAAAAACGTTTGCGCGCACGCTCCAGGGAGATTTGTTGTGGTTCCGAAGCCGTATGGAATATCATGCGTTGGACATGCACAGTTGAATGGAGGTATCTTTAAGAATACTATTCATGACAGTGAGAAACAGGAAAAATGGAAAAAACTAATAAAGGTTGGAGTCTGAAAAGAATTTAGATTTAAATAGTTTTTTATAGAAGAAAGAAAATGAAATGAACGACATCACAATCTCAGAATGCATTGGAGAGCTCAGGCATTTCTTTCGGGAACCAAAGTTATCTTTTTGTACCGGGCTTAAACGGTAATGATTTATTTTGAGTTATTGAGAACCAGTAAAGTATTTTAGCTATCTTTCCGGTGCTATTGTGCTTCCTTGCAATCATAAAGATGAATCGGTTTTAATAAAATCCATACAACAGATGAGTTCTCAACCGGAGCCACCATACATGTACCGAGCTTTGTAATAATTTCCCGACTTGTTCAGATTTTATGTTGTTCATTCATTCAGAGCGATTACGATTGATCAGCCATCCAAATTCGAAGGTGAAATGCTGGGATTTGGCACATTTCGAAATGTTGACAAACACAAGGAGGTATCCTAGGGCAAATTTATTCACTTTCATTTCAAAAAATAGTATATCTTCGAAGAAAGAAGAGCAAAAAAACGAGCTAAAACCGGAAAATATGCTGTCGAAGGTCGAATGAGATTCAAAACGCACGGCACCGCAAATGGATGCTCATTAGTAGAGTTTAGCGTTGATAAATGTGATAATTCAGTCATATGATTATGATTTATTCTAAAAATTTTAGTTGCTAGACATTTACCACGATTAATGCTCACACAAATGGGATCTCCGATTCTTGGCGATACGATTTATTGGCGAAGATTGGGAAATGTCGATGGCACCCCAACACTGATCACCGCTGGGCAGAAGGGACACAAAATTGTATGTATAAAAACCGAAAAATTGAATAGAATTTCCTTTTGATTTATATTTATAACAAAAATTTTAACAATTTGTTATAAAAAAAAATAGTAGAAATAAATATGAGAAATTATGATTTGCCAAAATGTGATATCTAGATTTATTGATTTTAGTGGATTCCCGCAAATCTTGGTAAAATTGTTGGTATCGAGAATCCCCGAGAATTGCTCACTTCATTACCAATTTTCTGCCATGTGTATAATACGGTAGGTCTACTGTATGTTTATAATCCCGCATTTATCTAATTGCTTCCAGGTTTTCGAAAACGTCGGAGGCCATGAGAGAGGTTTGATGGCCGGGTGTAAACCGCCAACTCATTTTATGGCAATGATGGAGCTTCTTGGATTAATGCCAGCTTATCGAAATTTTGCACAATCCGAAGACGATGAGCAACTCATCGATAACGTTGAAGCACGCGGCGAAACTCATTTTTGAGTTGTCACATTGTTATTTGTTGATACTTTAATCGATAAATTTGTTCGTTTTTATCGCGGGTGGTCGAAATTTGAAATTCGCCCAGACATCTGGCAGACGTTTTCAACGTGTGTGGTCGCCCGAGTCGACTGCTGCTCTGTTTCCTCGACCGAGACTCCATCGGTATCTGTTGTGACGGATAGTTTAGTGTTTTTCTTTTGTTTCGGACCACTCGCAGTTGTCGTTCACGTTTATTTTTAGAGTCAATGCGTCGCGCAATTATTTTGGCCCTTTTGATTATTGCAATCAAATGTGACAAAAGCAGAAAACAAATCGAGCTTGTCTCGCAAAAATGCTGCATGCCGAAAGATAGAGAATGTTGCATGAATATGATTAATTATGGGTAAGGCAATTTTTATTTCATTTTTTTTAGAAATCCTATTGTTTCAAAAATTTAAATTTTGTGACATTTCAATAGAAATATTATTGAGAATTTATATTTCTGATATTTGTATGAATAGAAATAACATAGCGTTTACAAATCGTAAATTTAAACATGAATCATTTTTTATCTAAAAAAAAATGCAAAACTAATTTCAGCAATTTCCATTAAATTCATAGTCAAACTAAATATCTCGTTGAATAAAAAACCGAAGCGTTGCAAAATTTGGATACTTGATTTTTTCTTATATGGCAAAATTTCATATTTTGAGAGCAGCAAATGTCTAATTGGGAATCGTAAAAATCCACGAATGTTTACTTAAAATTGTTGATTCTTATTTAAAATATCATTGTTTACTTCGATAAAAATAAAGAATTATGACATATACAGAAATTGTGCAAATACGTCCGGCGAATGGTAGGTCAGCACAAAATGTGTGAGGCAATTCGAATCAACCCTTTGTCTCTATTCCTTGCCAAATATTCCCGTTTTCCAAAAACTAATAAATTGAAAACAACAATCTTATAAAAATATTTTATGCTACCTTCAATCTATTAAAAATTGAGTTTTAAAGGAAAATCTTGTTTTTATTTTAGACTTCCAATAAAATGTGGATATCAACGAAATCCGTCTTTGGCTAAAACTCTCTATGATTGCATTCAAAAGAAGATGTTCGGATCATCTCAACGCATGAATCTTGATGGTAAGTTTTGTTTTTTTTTTTTGTAAAGCCCATTCAAATCGTCGATCTTGCTAATAAATTGAGCCTATTGGGTCCGTAAAAGGGCAATGCTGTGTTATGATATTTATCGTGCATTCCAATCGAGACAATCAACGCGATAATCATTGGAAGACGTGTAATTCTGTTGTGGTTCCCAAACCGACACAAGGTACCTGGCGATTTACTGCGCGCAATCGCTCGATGACCCAGGCAACATATACGAGAACGTGACGTGAAACGACACAATTAATTGACTACAGTGAGGAGAGATGAGGAAAAAGAGCGCAGAAAATGTGCTAATTTCTACCTCCTTTAGGTGATAAATAGACCCTTTATGGTTACTTTCGCACTTACACTTTGTCCTACGGTTCTCAACAAAGAACTGTGAGAATTTTGTGAATATGAATAGATTCTTTAGTTTCACAAAAACATCTTTTTGGATAAGAATAGACTATAATTCATAAATCATGAAATTTTAGCAAGAATAAAACAGAAACCGAACACAGTGAGATTACTTATTCGAAAATAGCTGAAATTGCTTGATTGAAGCATTTTGAGTAGCAATTCCGAAAATGGTATTGATATTCTTTAAATCTTAATAGAGGTATAAATGGTACAGGCTCATGTTTTATTATTATGTGTGAAAGATTTAAAAATAATCTAATAAATGAATCAATGCAATTCCATGTATCAGTGTTTATAAAATCCCTCGTAACACTATGGCAGATTTAAAAAATCTGTACCAACAAAGTTGTATGTATCTAGTAAACATATGAACAGGCAATTAAATATTTCCTAGCGGCTAGCGTCCCTCATCAGTCATTAAATAGGCCCTTGTTCGCATGCGGACGGACAGTGTTCTAGGCGAACGACGCTTCCCGCGAGCATTATTGCCTAACATTCTCACCATATTAGATCCTCGCGTGAGTGGGTGGAGTCTAACCCACGAGCTGTGTCGATAGCCGACAGAACTCATTCGGTACTCGGCAACGGGTACCGAGAGGTGGGCCTCGTTATCCTGTCTGGTGATCGGGGCCCTTCCTCGCTGTTTTCTTTTTCGATCGATGCGATTATACGAGATATCTCGGATCTTCGTAGGTGTTTCATAATTTTTGGAACTTTGTTGCCATAATGATATCGATCGTCAGGTAAGAAGAATTCATCTGTATAACGAATAAATAAAACAACTTTCATCGGCTTTTATGAGTATTTATTTTTCAGACGCGGTTTGCTGCAAACTCTTCGAATTCGACAAACAAGACCCGTCGAAGCACTGCGAGGCGACGTGCAAAACGGTAATGACATCGCCATCATTGGGCTCAACAATTCGCTTGGAGCGAATCAAACAGTGCACGTTGACAGAGAACCCGCTTTACAAGGTTTGTAGATCAAAATGGGAATCAAATGCATTTCATTATCCTATCACTTATTTCCCACAACTGTAAACGCTATACGTCATGATAATAGATGTCTACAATTTCCGAAAAACGAGCAGCTTGGCGACAAAATTGTTCAAAATGTTCATTTTTGAAATTCCTGAATAAATTCAGATATTACGAATTTTATTTACTTTAACAATACATTTACTTTAAAATTAAAGAATTTTTTGAAATCAAATTAATTATTAACATTTCTTGGACTGATGCCTTTGCGAGATCACAATTGCCCAATGCAGGTGGGCCGGCCCATTGTTTTATTACATATAGGTGACAACAGATCCCTCCGATTGTTCACACATTTTCTTGCTCAAACTTATATCTAAAAATTGGACAGAGTCATTAATTAGAAAAAACAATCAATATTCCATTTTCAGTGTTTTGAGAAATGCCGCCAATTGAGATCCGAAGGCATTCACATCGAAGTTCTCAAATTCGATGAGTATTGCGATTATCCGGTAAACGAAACTGACGATTCATCCAGCACAATTCATTTTTAATCGCATTTAATCACCCGAATATTGCATGCTTCCCATGATAATCGGAAATGTTTGTTGGTGAAATTATTGTGAATTTCATGTATTATTCTTCCCATCGCCGCTCAGTCATACTGGCATTCTGTAGACACTCGTCTGGGAATGGTCCAGAGCAGCTTATTTATGCATTTAACTAACTAACCACCTTTTTTTTTATTGTATTAAGGTTTAATATAGGTTCAGACATTTCACATTTGATTTGGATTGAAGTTTGATCTGATCCTGTCAAATTTTGAGAACATTTGGAATCAGTTCAAATTTCAACCATCGAACATTCTTGTGAAATTTCTTAACTTATATTAATTTGATTTACTATATATTAATCATATTTTGGGGAGGTTTTCAGAAAGAAATACGCTAGAAGATATTCACAGTTTTTTTTTGTAGAAAATATCGAAAAAAATATGTTCTATCGATATTTTTTCTGAAAACTTTCGGACAACTTCGCAACTGTGTCTTGAGAGCATTTTGCACACGTCATCAATTCGGGTTTGAAATTTTCGAACCTGAACGTCAGAATGCTCCGAAACTGATTGCGCCAGGTCATCAACGCCTCCACTGTGTCGTTTTATTATTTCTATCGATGTTGTCATCTCCAATCACACTCAAATCGTAAATTGTCAGATCTTTAATTGTTATCTCAATGCAAATAAATAACTAACATAGTTTTTGCTGAATTATTATGTTACATATATTGTAAAAGTCAAACGACTTGACGAAATTTTAAAAATTATTGGCTATGGGCCAATGCGTCTCGAGGCAGCGAGATTGCGTACATTGCATTATAGCGTACGCGCATATAATATTCAGTCAACGATTGATTTTAATCTAAACTGATTTCATGAAATTGAAGGCTCCGCCTCCCTTCAGATGTTTGACGCCGACAATATAAAGATATAGCGGAAAAGAAGAATGAATTCTCAGTAGAATTTGGAGGATTATTCAGAGAAAGAAATACGCAGTCACAGAATTCCAAAAAAACAGTGCGTGATTTATTCCTTCCATGTTTACCATTTCCTATTAATTTACATTAATAATATCCATTATTTTTTCATATTCCTAAAAATGACAAAAAAGAAGAGGGTATGAAATTTATTATTATTTGTGAGCTTCCTTTTTTTGGTATGCAGGCAGAGCAATCGATTCGGAAAACGGCAAATATTTCGAAGGAGATGCGCGAGGAGATTCAACAGCAAGGAGAGCGATTCGAGAACACTGTTCCGCCGGCGCCGACGCCGCCACCGAAGAGCGAGAACGGCGAAACTTCGATGAGATCCGACTTGGTATCCCAAAAGATCCTGTTGGCTTCATCGGTTTGCTTGAAAAAAAATTTCCGCATAATTTATCGAAATTGTCCACAATGTCTCATGAATATTGATTTAAGATCAAAATATTGCAAGAAGAGCGAAATAAATATGAAAACCATGCAATGGAGAATTTTGCAAAATCGGAAGACACGCGATCGTATTGCACAATTGACGAGTTCAAGGATGATGAATCTGCGAAGCTTTTTGAGCAGAATTGCGATGTATTTGAAACAATTTTCATCTCAATATTGTTTTGTGGTTGCTTTGTTTAGACGACAGTTCGAGCTCCGCCACAAGTTGTTCCTTTGAATATTGTGAACAATTTGAAGAAGGAGCCCCAAAAAGCGCCGTTTTTATCCGATTTCGACTTGTGTCAAGCGATGGAGAATAAAAAACAGCATCCGCAGGCGATTGCCGTCGAATCGCATAATAGATTTCACAATGAACTTGCGTTTTGCAATTCTGTACACGAAAATTGGCAACGTTGACATTGAATCTGAATTTGCAGATTATAGAAGATGTTGAAAGGGTAATCAAAGAATCAAGAAGGTTCGACCTCGAATTAACCGTAATCAAATATCGAGATGTGAGCTGATTATTAAAACTTTGATAGCTTCATTGATTTAGAAGAATGATATGCCTAGATGTAAAATTGAAATCATTCGTAAAATTGCGACAACACCAATTCCAAAGGAAGTTCCTCAAATTCCTTCGGAGCTCGATTTTGAGGATGAACCCGAATGGAACAAACCTGATGGACTTCGACCGACACCAATTTTTCAAGTCCCAATGGTTGCTGTTAATAGATTCATAACGCACGTGAAGGTAAAGCATGCCAATTTTTTTTTATTATTAATAATCCCCATAATGTTATTTATAGAATATTTTTCGAAAATAGAGCTTTCGGAAATGTAGAATATAATTATAATCGTTTCTCATTTGTTTCAATAAACTATTTGATTAAACATTACGACTAAATGTGCAAAGAAGGAAGAGAAATCCTAAGAATTGTGGAAAGAATAAAGAGTTGAGAAGATTTTTGAAAATGTGGGCGTATTGAATCAGAGCAGTTCTTCGACAGGTTTCGAAAATGCTCCCTCTCACATGATATGGCTACTAATTATTAATCGGTCAATGTGTTTTCCTCCCCTGCCATTTTTTTGTAGTCCCCTTTGATTTACTGTCTATTTTTTTAATATTTAAGAAATACAAATGAGAAAAAAGTACGCCGAACCGTCACAAAAGCCTGAAAAAATAATATAGGAAGTGATGAAATTGCTCAGCATTTTGAATGTGCACAAATTAGCAACGATTCTTATGGACGTGTTTTAGATCTTTAAATTTGTATATTTTTACCAGCAGACTTTAGAAAATTTCCAATCAAGGTTAATCTATTATAGATCATCAGCGAAGATCGATCTTCGCAATCTCAATATGAGCGGTCTCCAGTTCTCGAGAAGAGTTTCAAATAAAATGTGCGCAATAGAAAGTGCAATCGAAATGTAGGAATCACAACGAAAAAATTCCCAACATAAAGAAAGTATTAATGCATATGCATAAGGCGATGGATGGTTGTAAAATGTTTTAATAAAACTTGTGTCGGTCAATTTATTGACAGCCGTTGCGAGGCATAATTGCCGCAATCGACGGAAAATAAGGTGCCGACAATACAAAACCACTAATTATACGATATAAACCAAGAATGGTGTGTGCGGGTGTTTTTTTTTCTTAAAGAGGTCCCCAACCACCTGGCAAGTGTGATCCCGTATTGTGAGCGCATATGTCTGCGTCTCCCAGACGGTGTTCGCTTTCCGGTTTTGTTGACTCAACGACGGCGAACGACCAGGTTATGACAGTGGTGTGTCCCCCCAAAGTGTACACCCTGCACCATGTGAGAGCTTGTAGGGTTTTTTTTTTCGGTCGCATCATAACGGTCTTATCGATTTTTTGATGATTCTGTCTGCCTCGCCGCCGTGATGACTCATCAGCTCGTTCGTTTGCATAACCATCCCCTCGATATTTCTTCATTGTTTGTTGATAACAGTTTTGAAATTTCTAACAAGATTTATATAATTCTACATACATTTTCTGGGAAACCCTGTTCAACCAAGCAACTTTATTCAATAATAGAAATCATTTGCTCATCTTGTTCTCTTATAAATGCACAAGTGCTTATTTATCCATTTCATTAACCCTTCGCCTTATATGAAGTGTGTTACTCGAGTACCAAAGTACGGCAAAAGTTTGCTAATATCATGTTTTATTACATTAATATGATAATAAATAGTATCGTATTTGCTCTTTTTTTTATATAAGATCATTGGCATTTAATTCAAAATTCCTTGGAATCAAATCAATTATGGTTGATTGGTTTCGATTTTGTTCTGCATACAAAAAATTTTTATTGAATCCTGTAAAAAATCGAAACTGCCGAAAAATCTATTATTTGCACGCCCCTGTCCATAGCAAAATTCATTGAATTTGTGAATCTCTGAAGTTTTAAAATTTCCTCAATAATTCACTTATTTTAATATTTTTTTGCAGTTTTCGTCTCGTATCAAAATCATCCCCCAACTCGGCATTTTATGAATGATACTTCGCACTTCGTTTCTAATCCTTGTTGCCCAAGTCACTTGGCCAACATGGACAATCCTTGGACAGATCGGACAGCCTGGCCAGGCTCCCGGACAAGTTCCGCTAGATCATGGATATAGGCAACCATTGGAGCCGATTAAAAATATTCTGCAAGGCTCTTATCGAAATAATGTGACATTGTATTATCGCAATTCACCCTATAGGGTGACGGGCGACGTCACCGTCGAGTTTGGCGTCACAATGACGATCGAGACTGGTGTTCGGATCTACTTCGACACGGGTACAGGTCTTGTGGTGAAGGGAACCCTCCGAGCTATTGTAAGATGCGCTTTTTGACCTTCTCATAGCAAATGCGACGCTTCGTTTTTTTTTCTAGGGAAATGAATTCGCGCATATCGAAATGCTACCTTACCAGCAACAAATCAATTATGACAATGACATGCCCAAATTTCGGTTGGTTGACGGCCCGACGGTTAGGCAAGGTCGGCTGCAGGCGCAATTTAGGGATCGATGGAGATCGGTGTGTACCATGGTTACAAAGTGAGTCAGACGGATACTTAAATTTAAAATATATGGTTAACATTTGTTTTCAGTTGGACTTCAATCGACACAGGTGTCGCTTGTAGATCAATGGGATACTCTGATGGAGGTATTTCAATCATTTAATTTTAATTTCTATATTTTTTTGATTCTAGGATTCTGGAAATGGTTTCTTCGAAATAATGATACCTATCCATTTGTTATGCCTAAACCCGACTGTCATAATGGCGCGAAGAATCTTTGGGATTGTCCAGCATTTTCCGATGAAAACAATATTCGATTGAGTGAGAATTTGTGCCAAGGTAAGATTTTTTTTTAAATTTTTTTCCACCAAAAAAGAGAAACTCAATTTTAGGCGAGGATGATATTGGAATTTACTGTTGGGGTCCGCCGATGTTCACCGGTTGGGCTCGTCACTGGAAAGGAATTCAATTATTCAATTCTCCATTTCACTACGTTCGTTCGGATCCAGACTTGGTCGCTGTAAACAGAGAATCTGACAGTCGACTGGAATTCATTGATATTCTTTATGCCGGCTATGACGGGTAAATAGAAAATACATGGGCGCTGTTTTCTAGAGATCTATTTCGTTATAGAGTAACTAAAAATACAACAGCTGCTTTGTATATTCAAGGTGTTCCGCCGATAATGAATGGCTTGCGGATTGAGCGAAGCGCGAGAGACGGTGTCCAACTGGCTGAAGTTACCGGTAAGGATCAGATTATTATAATAATCGTCGTCTCATTTTGCCTTCTTTTTTTCAAGGACCTGTTTTAATCGCAAATTCCACATTTTCGTTTAATCGCGGCCATGGCATATTTGTCGACAACACAACCGACGGTCGCGTTTTTATCAATAACACAAGGATTGAAGGAAATTGGGGAGATGGTATCTCATATAAGCAGAAGACCGGCGTCAATCTTGTCTCGCACGGACTACGTGAAAAACGACATATCGGATTGCACGATGAGGATTTGCCGTCGATTGAGATGTGCTCGCAACACGCTGTCTCAAAAGAACAATTTTTTCCGCATTTGGTTGCGGTCAGTTTGAAGAATCGGACGTTCTTGGATCCCTCGCAACCACCACTCTGTTGGATGGTATACCATCCCCCGGCAATATTTCCAGATTTTAATTGTAACTATTATTCTAGACTGTTTCGTTACCCCCACGGTTACCGTATACCTACAGTATTCAATGGATGCACATAAGTGATCGAAATCCGCCGTCAGCAAATAGTAGTCTCGTGATTTGCGATTCCGATAATGAGAAAGAAAATGCATGCGGAACATCGAGATTCTCAATTCCGATCCAAAACGGAGTCTACCCACAAAGTGTCTCACTCAAGTAACAATCAAAATCAGTTCAAATAGAAACCTTGATATTATAGAAGTTCTGGAAAGCCACTCTACATCGCTCTAGAACACCATTTGGATGGTGATCAAGCCGGATATGTTCAAGGCGATATCAATCTTCTATTCCGAATCCATGCTTCAGTGCTTGACAAAGCCTATTATGGGTTGAATGTAACTCATTGCATTATCGAGAAGAACACGGGCAATGGAGTGTTTGCCAATGACATTCGAGAACGTACCGCATTGACGAATGTGACGTTGGAAGCGAACCAGGGATACGCCGGATTTCATGTTAGGGTTAGTGTCGTTTTCAAAAACCAAGAAGCATGATCGATTTCTATATATTTCAGAACGGCGCTGCTGACATTTGGATTAATGAAACGCGAATTTTGAAAAATTGGGGTGATGGAATGAATATTAGTTATGCCGGTGGAAGTGTTCTCATCAACGGCACACGAGTCGAGAAGAATCGCTGGAGAGGCGCCTCGTTCCACTTCAACCAATCAATTCCTTTTCTACCGATGTATCAGGAGATCATATTCAAGGGACGACCATCGAATAATCTTTTCTATCTTCCGACAACCATCGCCGAAAATGAATGGGGTGGAATACTTGTCGGAAATTTTTGCGCTCCCGTAAATTCTATGGTTCGAATCGAGCCAAAAGTGCTCATCAGTTGGGTGGAATTTCACAAAAATCAATACCATCCAGCACTGGAAATTTTCTCGTGTCGAAATTCGGATGTCTCGAGAACTCTAATCGACATCACGGGAAATCGAGTAGAAGGTAGAACAACAAGACATTCATATTATGAAGTTTGCTCTGGTTTTAAGGAAATCTTGGGTATGGAATGCGTATTGCTCCCGCTGTCAACATTCATGCGACAATATCCAGCAATCAATATTTGAACAATAATGACACCGCGCTGTATATTAGAAATGCCCAGTGGCCACAGCTGCAACATCTACCATCAAATGTATGTAATTTCAAATTAAAACTACGAACGCAAATTGACTTCATATTTTAGATCACAATTTCGAAAAATAGCTTCAAGTTCAACACTGCAAAATATATAATATCATTGGGATTGAATGAAGACGCTAGAAATCAACAAATCATATTCAATCAACAAAATGAGGTATTGAATCGATAATGAAGAAAAAAAAACATTGTTTTCTGTTTTTTTTCTGCATTTTTCTATAACAAAATGTAAAATTAATTTTAGGTTCGAGGCAATACTGTAATCGATCCGTTTCCCGATTTACCACCTCGGACTACACCTTTTGCTGCCCTTGTGGTTTCAAGCAGCAACGTGAAGATCCATCGAAATTGTTTCAAAAATGAGCGAGCCAAATATGAAATCGCGACCGAATTAGAGCAACACGCGAAATGGATTGACGCAAGGGAAAATAATTGGGGATCGCCGATCGTTGGGCAGTTCATCGACAAGATATTTGACCAGGTTTCAGCGTGTTTCTTTTCTAGAAATCAAAATACTGAATATTTTCAGTTTAATCGTTATTCACTTGCTTCAATTGATATTGATCCATTTATGGCGGTGTGCAACCAACGAGTGCCACACATCACACCACAGAATGAAGTGTTTCGTCAGTTCCGAAAGTCGTCAGATTCAATGAGAATCGGCGGTATCATTTATGAAAATCATGATCTACTGAAAGGAAGATATACGGTTACCGATGATCTACAAGTTGTGCCTGGTGCGAAGCTAACAATCGCTTCTGGAAGCACATTAGAATTTGCCCACGGCGTTGGAATGATTGTTCAAGGCGAGCTGACAAGGAACGAATTCGGCAATGACCAGCGAGTCATATTCACGGCTGCACCATTCGAGCTTCAAAAGAAAGATCGAATTCGACTTGTAGATGAAGATGGAAATGATGGAGTTACTGAAGGAAGGCTCGAAGTATTTGTCGATGATCAATGGGGAACAGTTTGCAATCGATCATGGACGGCAGACCACACAATTCTGGCGTGCAACCAGCTCGGACTTATTGCTGATATTCAATATTTTGAAAATTGGAGGATTTTTCCGAGCAAGGGGGACCTTCCAATGATTATGGATAATATAAGATGCGAGGAGAATGAGGTGAAGAAGTGAACGTTCTGAAAATAGCTTTTTCTTTTTTGGTATAGGTGGATTTGACGAGGTGCCGACATGATGGAATTAGCAGAAACTGCGGAGCAGGATGTCGACCAACGGAAGTTGTCGGTATTCAATTTTTTGTTTCTTGAGGACTTGATGATCGTATTGTATTAAGGGCTTCGGTGTTTGGAGCCGCGTTGGGCTGGTGTCCGTTATTCACTGCTTGCAAATCCTCCGACCGTTACCGGACAGACCACAATGGACAATTGGCTGATTGAAAAGGGTGGATTATTCAATTTCCGGACATCGCAATTCTGCGCCGCGTTTCAAATTGACTGGAATTATCACACGTTTCACAGGCTTGAAATTAGGGTTTAATCGAAATATTTAAGCAATTTTGATTACTGATATTTACTCAGAACAACTTTTGGGATGGAATCGATATCGGCTATAATGATCTCATAAAGAAGCCTGCAATTCGAAATAGTATTATCACAAATAATCGAAGAAATGGTGTTCATATACGATCCGCTGGAATTACCATCGAAAATGTAATTCGACAAATTGCTGAAATATTTAGACAATGTATGATTCAGGTGACTGTTAGCTTCAATGGGCAATCGGGCGTACGATACAATCCGTCGCTCAGTGCTCATCTGCAAAATGATATTGTCTCTTGGCTGAGTCTCCGCGAACAACCCGAACTTGAAGCCAACAATATTTTCCATATTCCCAATAGGGATTTGGATTTCATTGAAGTTCTAGAAAGTAGCCTTAACCAGCGAAAATTTCTAATTTCGTCCGAAAATGACGACTGCCCGTCAGAGCCTTTCGAAGAATGCGTCTACAATCTAATGATTCGCGCCAGTGGCTACGAGTATGGCCTATCATCGAAAATGGCAATACAAATTGTGAATCCGGCATCAAACGTTTCCGACGAGGACGCGGTCTTCACGGAGATGTCGACCGGAAAAAGTTGGAGTGCCAGAAGAGATCAAGTCTATGTAAGGAAACATTTGTCTATGCCACATGCATCCATTTAATTCAGTTTCCGGTGGTGTCGACAAGAAACGAAATGCGTATGAGGTATACAAGGTCGTACGGAAAACCAAAATTAGTGATTTTGATATTGTTCCTTGACAGTAAGATTTTTAAACATATTAAAGTAGCCACATCTTTCTACTTTGTAGCACAAGAATATCTGGATCGGTTTGTTCACATCTACAAATCGCGAATTGAAGATAACCAATATGGGTTCTCCGCTGAACACTTCTCGAATCTCACTTTCAGCGATGGAACGCTGTCTAATAGATGGAATGAAGAGAAAATGTGGCTTCAAAAGGTCCGTTTTTCCTCAATTGTTTTAATATATTTTAAAGTTTAGGTGAATTTTACAAGAAATTCTGAAGCCGTCTTATGGCTACACTCACCACAACACGTCGTTCCGCAAGGAACTCCTATAACCGAGGTTTTTTTATTTTAAAAATTTCTGAATAACATATTTGGTATTATAGATAACTTATCACATTGACAACTGCAGTATAGTTGATAATACGGGTCCATTGATCGAATCTCATCGTGACATGTTCGCTTCAGCAAATGTGTTTCACTGGATTTTCTGGTCGAACACGTTCGCCAATAATTCGAATTCGGGTATTTCGGTGTCATTGCCAGACACGTATGATTTATTATCGAAACGCCAACACTCATTTATGGTAATGACGATATAGCTATTTTTGAAGTAATTAAGACGATTTCCAGCTGACGGAAAATCGCTTTCAAAACAACGACGGATTTCGCATTCTTGTCTCCGGATATTATGCGTTCGCCAATGTTTCTTCAAACAATTTCACTGATAATTATGCGCCGTCGAAATTTGGAATTCTGGAGTTACGCGGAATGGAGAAGAATCTGATTTTGGAACGAAATCGCTTCTTCAATAATTGGGTAATTAAATCAATTATTTTTCAACAACTATTCGCAATCAACAGGGTCATTGGATGGTTAAAATCGATACATCTTCTCATTATTTAAGAAGCATGCAAGTTCCATCATTGATTCAATATAATTATATGGAAAATAATCATTTTGTCAAGGTTGGTGAATTCGAGCAAAAAATTCAAGTTTTCCTTATTTTCAGCCACGCGGAGACTATGTGGACATGTGGCCCAGATCGTATGCAATCGGTATTTTCGGATCACACAAAGTTGATGTTCATTTCAATCGATTAAAAAATTCGCTTCTCGACTTTGAATTAGTTTCAGGATGCAAGGTAATCACACAAATTATTCGATATCGTTTAACATGCATTTGAAGTACTCCGAGATCGATGATTTTATGAACGTGACTCATAATTGGTGGGGTACTGGCAATGAAGCTGAAATCGCGCAGCGAATCTTTGATTTCGATGACTGGAACACGTACATGCTTGCAAAATGGAGTCCATTCTATGTGACAAATGATTTGTTCATAAATTTCTGGTGGAATCCTTTTAAGGTAATGATAATAATGATATTTTTTTGGAAAGCAAAATGAAAAATTACAGGATGGACAATTGGCTAATGGGAGTTATTCGGAACCGACAATATTCGATCTTAAGGGAAGAATGTTTGAATCGAAAAATATGACGCTGATAACGGAACGATGGCATAATTTTCCGCATTATTATAGGGTGCCTTTTTTTTCTCATTTTAAATTTGAAATTATTCAACATTTTCAGCCATTTCGTCCATATCGAATCACTAGAGATTTGACAATCATGCCGGGAGCAACGCTAACCATCGAGAGTGGAGTAGAAGTGCATATTTGGCCAAGCGTTCGTATTCTCGTTCTCGGCAATTTAATAGCCGATGGAACATATTGGCAGCCGATCAGATTCAAGCCAATCAACACGACTGAATACGACGAACTGAAAGGAAGAATTCCAACCGAGTACAAGAGGAAGAAAAGAGAAGCGGTTTTGCCAACGATTCTATATAAGAATGCTGGAGCTCGAGTACGAGAAAAAAGAGCCGACAGGTGAAATTTTAAACGCTTATTTTTGGTAAAGATTTTGACGATAAACTTTCAAAAACCTGGTTAAAACTAGCAGAGTATTTTGAGTTTTTTTTAGAATGCTGTACCATTATAATTCTTTCGCAACGCGTCCAGACAATTGCAAAAATTTAGCAAATATATCCGTCTTTTAAATTGTAATTCTTCGCGAATTTTTTGTAGCTGAAATTATGTCTTGTTTAACTATGCGTTTAAACGCTGTTTTCCAGAGGCCGACCAGACGCTGTTTATCGCGATTTTCCGACATTGAACCGCGCCGATCCTTACTATCAACGATTTACCGTTTCTCTAAGCGAAAACGGATCCGATTACGGCCGATCTGGATTTTTGCAAATCTACAACGCAACCACAGGAGAAATTGTTCCATCGTGCGATAAGCAATTTACTTTAAGAAATGCCCAAGTAGGAAATTTAAATTTACACGTTAAATAGGCGAGCTATGTTTAGGTGGTTTGTCGAGAACTCGGCTTGGACACTATGAATGTTTATCATTGGGTAACAGAAAGATGGGATTATAATCCACAACTTCGCATACTGAAAACCTATATGGAGCCAAGGGAATGCCGGGGTGACGAACCGAGTCTCGATCGATGCGAACTTCGGCTAACTGGAAATGTCAGCCAATGGCAATGTAAAGACAGCGAGCATTTCAATTACATTTACTGCGGCAAAAATGTTTCACTTGAAAGGTACTTAAATCATGCTTAAATTATTTAATTAAATTTTAATAGGGAATATATCGGAAATTGGGGAGGAATTGCGTTTGCTCGACCGAGACTGGAAGAAGGAATTTCAGTAGAATCAAAAGGTTGGAAATTCAGAAAATTAATTCAAGAATTGTTGATTTCAGACCGATCTTTATTGCGAAACGTAGAGATTGTTGGCGGCGGTTCAGGGCACAACGACAGCTGGCAAAGTGCCGGACTTCAAATATTTCACCGATCGCCAATTATCGATCATGTCAATGTGACGAATTGTAGCATGCACGGTGTACAAGTATGAAATTTCTTCTCCTTATACGTATATTTTTATTAATTTATTTTAGGTGATTTCACCTAGCCAGAAGCTGATACTCAACAATTTGAATGTGACAGACAATCACGGTCAAGGTGTGAGCATCATGACCACATTTGTGCAAGCTCCTGGATCCTCGCAACAAGTCCTGTTGAGGCCACTCACAATTCCTTATTATACCCAAGGAATGTTGGATATGTGTGCCGCTGTAAAAACCATTGAAGTCCAAAATCGATTATTGGTAAGAAAATCATTCGAAATGATGAATGGAATGTGTTTCAGGTTTACTATAAATATGATTCGATTCCCGTCGATTGTGTGAAAGTTTTTACATCGAGAAATCGTAGAGTGGCCTTTCGAATTATTCAATACAATTTCTATTCATCTGACGCAGATCTGGGAAGATCTGATGCTTTACGAATCTATAGTTCACCGGCATTGACTCCAGTCAACCTACTCGCTGAATACAGGTACATCATAATGCTCATTACATTATAATTACGATGTCGATTTTCAGGCGAGGAGAGCCTTCGCATGATCCTTCAATAGTAGTAACATCTGAAGTTATTGCGATTCATTTGCGGGCAACAGCGGCTGACGGCGTTTATGGTTTCATTGCAGAAGTGGCCGCCCTTCCCAGTAATCCTGAACCACGTAAATCGAGTTTTCATTAAACAATAGGCATTGATATTTTAGATACTGTTGGAGAAGTTGTTGTGCGAAGTTCAAGAATCGACAACAATGATCGCGGAGCAATTGAGTATTCGAACAGTGGCGAAATGAGCCCATCGCTCGTCATTGAGGATTGCTCGATTTCCTATAATGGAATTCACTTGTTCGGAAACATTTCGACTTCGAGTCAAGCCGTTCAATTAAACTTGCACAACACATTGGTAGGAATTCTCGTCGTTTTCACTTCTCATATATCATTCAATACAATTCAAGTTTCTCTTGTTCCGCTCGAATTCTCTTGCTCACAATCGCGGAGGAATGTACATCTCGTCGACGTCAAGTTCACCGGTAGCGCGGCTCAACGCACTTGTCAAAAATTGCCTATTCTCGCATAACTCAAATTCAACAACGGTGGCGTTGTTTGGAAATAATTATCAAGTGGTTCGTCTCGAATTGAAATATTGTCGAAGTCGGGGATTGTCCGTGTGGAGTACACAACGTCTTGTCGCCTCAAGACCATTTCCGACATTTAGCCAAGCAATCACGCGATTTCGACAATCTATTACTATTTTTTGTCAAATTAAACAAATTTATATTTAGGTCACATTCTTGAATAACGTGATCAGCCATAATTATGCACTCTACCACGATACGATTGTCTCACAAGACGTTTCGGTGAATATGACAATGAATACAATATTTTCGAATATTGGCGCTCATACACTTGACATTCACGCAAATTCGAGAATCGCCTCGGATAAAAACACATTTGTCCGGAATCATTTCTACGACAATACGGCCCTTGGACATGGTCATCAGTATATGGAAATGTATGGATTCCAGCCAACTGAGGAGAACAACGAATTTTTGAAGCGACCGCGACGAAAGAGATATGTAAGATTATTTTGAACTTTGATCAGAATAAGTACATATAAAAATGCTTTTGAGGTTCTAACGCAACGAGGAGTTTCGTTCGATTGGTGGACGCATGTCGACAACGAGACAACTCGATATCGATCAACCATAATTGCCGGAAGTGCTCAAGAAGTGTTCAAATACAACACGTTCAATGATCCTGCTAATGACTATGAGCTAACGACGGCAAGACAAACGCAGTATGACGTTGGAACCATCGATGCGAAACTCAACTATTGGGGTTATCCTGGTACTGTCGGAGTTGCATCAGGAAAGATTCGAGATCATGAAGATTACCCATATTTGGTTAAGGTGAGCAAACTCTTTGGGATTTTTCGTTTTGATGTAAATGTTCCTTTAAGGTTGACTATAATCCTGTGCTTGAATCCAATACATCACTGATAGAAGGTGATTGCCCCGCCGGTTGGTTTCAGGCAGGACATCAAGAATTCAAATCTTGTTTCCTGTACGTCGCGGCGGCTGTCACGTACAACAAAGCGGTTTCGTATTGCGAAGAGTTGGATGCCTTCGTGCCTTACTTGAGGACTGATGATGTCAGACAGAAAGAGATTGGTAGAAGAATTGATGAAATGAGCATGAGTATAATCACCGACACCGAGCGGATATCGGCATACGGCGTATGTTTTTGAACTGCTTAACATGAATACGCGATATATCTTTTGCAGATAGCCAATGACATGCATGTTTGGATATCCTCTGTGAATGTGCCATCAACACAATGCGCCTGGCTGAGCGCCCGAAGCAAAAGAATCGGCACCGTCAATTGCAATTCACTTCTTCCATTCGTCTGCGAGAAAGGTACCCAACCGTACTCGGAGCCAATAATGTGGAGAACGGGCATCGTAATCGCCGTTATCATTGGAGCCGCACTGTTGGTTCTTGTCATTCTTCTGATTTTGTGTTGGTGGCTGAAATCGAATCGAAGGCGTCAGGAGTTAGCGGAACGCAAAAGCATTGTCAGAGCGAGTATCAAACTTCAAAAGTAGGAATTTAAACATTTAAAACACATGGATAAACAATGGGTTTTGAGGAAAGCAAGAGAGCATGAAATGAAGCTCGCTTCTGGAAGTCTGCCTTCTCATGAATCTGCCCATGTTAGCCTTCGATCAACCACAATAAGCGCCTACGATACTTCATGGTATTCCCTCAATTATGTGTTGTATATAATTATTAGAGTTCTTATCAGGAATAAGAAGAAGTACACCCAATCGCCAACTGAAACCATACGGACAAGTTGCAGCGATGCATCGGATCATATATATTCGTATACAGACTTCAAGCGCGGAACAGCCAGTGCAACATATACGGACACTTATTATAATCGGTAAATTGGTTTGCATAGTTAATTTCGCATAATTTATCGATTCCAGATATTCTTCTGTTAACACTAATCCGAATCCGTACTCGGAGATAACGGAAACTGGAACTTCCACCGGGACTGGAACAACTGTACGTCTACGAACCCCGAATTCAACAATTCCAACAACGAATACGACGGAATCATCGGATTTCACGTGTAGCACATGTACATCGGATTCTGAAAGGACTTCAACGGCCACTGATGTCTCATCATACAGTGATCGGACCGACAGTACCGTTCAGAATGGGAAATATTTGCGTCCAATTTCGCCACCGAAGCCAATGCCGCGATCGCCAGGAATACTACGAAGAGCAGCGGAGAACACTTATAGAAATTCTGCGTCTGAATTTCTTTCAGGCACCAACAACTTCCAGCCATTGCCGACGGATCCCTCACCACCAAGGTATTTTTGAAAATCAGTTTATTGTTTTCTATTGTCTTTTATTTTTTTTACATTTCCAAAATGATGTATTTATAATTTCTTGTGAAAGCTGTTATAGAAATCTAAATATATTATTATTGTTTTCAGAAATGCACCAATTCCTCAAAGTCGAACGACGGCTGAGAACTCACGACTATTTGCAAAAAATGCAACACCATCAAGACCTAGAAAACATGTCATAGAAACTACAATGTAATCTAATTTTTGTATATTTGACGAAACGATTTTGTGATGACTTTAATTTTGAAACGGGTTCTAATAATCTTTCATTTTGATTTTACTAATGATGTTCTCATCCTTGCCATATTCTCCAATTTTTATGATGAAATTTTATCGCTGTGATTTTTCCAAGTACACCAAAATTAGTTCGTTTTTGTGTTTCGACGGCCACTTCCGATGAGTCACATTGTTCTCGATGGCGCGCGATCGACTCGGAACAGAAGAGGCGATGAGCAAGTCTAGTGTACGAATTTTTGCTTAATTTATTCTTGTTGCGTTTCTAGGAAAACGATGTATGAAAATCAGAATTCGTCAAATTTTTTGAATATAATCGTTTCTATAACAAAACTTTGCAATTTAATATGGGCCTATTCATGCAATGGAATAATCTAAAAAAAAACATGTTATACTTTTTCCAATGCAGGGTTATATGTATAAAAAAATGCGTATTTAATGAAATTTTTACATTTATTTTCTATCAAAAATTAAATTCCATGAATAGGTCCTTTAGATTTAATTTTAAAAATATTGGTTTTTCCTAGGTTCGCGCACAATGAGTATATTTTATTCATATAATTACCGTCGGCTAGGGGAGACTTATTTACACAGGTAAATTTACGGTCATGCGTCTTTCTCAATGGTCTTTCCACACACGAATATTTATTTTCGATATTGTCCCCTCATTTTTTCGTTTTCAGATTACCATTTTCTTCAATGGGCTTGAAAATTTGTAAATATTGAAATAAACCCTAAAATATGAAATAACCATTTTTCTGCGTGAGACCATTGCGAAAAAAATAGACCCCGCGACACACTGACATCAATTTTATACGAGGTGTTAAGTTTAGTCAAATTTTTCTAGTCGCTTTTCGTAGCATTCCCATATCTCAATAATATTTTCCTAGATTTTTTTTGTATATTTCTGGTTGAGAAAAACAAGCAGCTGAAATACCAAATAATAATTGTTTTTGGGGAGAATATTTCCATAAAATAGCTGAAATATTCACATTTCTGTAACAACAAATGTTGGATCTGAAAATATATCACAATTGATGATTTGAATAGTATTTTTGTTTCGGAATGACGCCCCCCCAAAGATTGCGGAAACCTCTCGAGATAAATCCATCCTGCGAAAATTCATAACGTCCGTCGGCCCGTCCGTCAATCAGTCAAATCCGCGCCCAAAAATTTGTGGGCCGCTTGTGTGTGGAATTCATGGACCTCGAGTGTTTCTATGTTTGTATATATATGTATATATCGCTTTTAAGAATCGTGTTGGCCGAAAAAGGGGGAGGGGTTGGGCTGTTGTCTTGTCGGCGTTTTGAGCAGCTCCATCATGCTTGTATCCCAAAGGAGATCCGCAATGGGGTCGGGCGGTTCTGTCGATCCAGAGAAAAAGACGAAAAATTTGGTGAGGGTGAAGAGTGTCTCTGGCGAAAGCCACGCCCATTTCCTCGAGTTTCTCGCTTTCATAGATTTTTTTTTGGTTGGGCAAGTTGTCGACGCCATTATCATCATCATCATCATTATTAACGACTTCAATTCTGAATCGATCAAACTTTGAAACGATCTTTCTACCCTTTTTTTCGGCAGATTCTCTTTCAAATTTAGTCGGCCGTTTTTCTCCCAATGTGCACCAATAAATCTCATTGAGATATTACCGAACATTCTTTGTTTTGTTTAGCTTTTTTCCTTTTGTTGAAACTTCCATAAAATTTATTGAAGCCAAACCATGTTCGTGGCAGCTTTTGAGTTTCGCTTATTGCCCGAAATTTTCCCTTAGCCTTCCTGACTACCGAAGCCAATTATTTCTGCTATTGTTGCGTTATTATAACTTATTCATGACAAATTGAAGAAAGGGTCATTAGAAATTCATTTTTTAATCAATCGTGTTATATGTATTCTGTGAACTCTTTTCCACAAATTTTGCAACACCATCCGGCCATTTCCAGACTATTTAGTCGATAGAAATTCAAAAATAATCGTGTTTTGTTTTATTTCACGTTCTCAAAAATTTTTCTAGAATACAAGCAAAGTCTTATTGATCGAAGAAGCTAATTGAGCTCATGGGATAGTTCCAAATGGTAAAATTTTTACAAAACTACAAGCATCTCGCGTCCATGATCCATATAAGAATAGAATAATCTAGAATTCCGTGTATGACGAATGAATTGTTTGTGCTTCCAATGCGCTTTTTCATGTTGAAGAATAATTATTCATTATTTAAATTTTCGCATTTTGCTCTTTTAAACCTCGCCAAGCGGAATTCATTTCAAAACGCGCACTTTTTTCGCTTCTCGCTGTATGTACATGCTTAAAGATTTGGGCAATGAGCTTCCTCTCATACGTCAAGTGGCGCAAGATTTTCCAAATAATTCTCATGGTTCACTTCGTCGACTCCCCTCGGCGATTTTCATTTCAATTCAGATTCCGAGCTCCAACTCTTCGCTCCGCCCATTGTCTGGTCTTTATGTTCGCCTGAAACTGGCAGATTAGACACGGGTACACACCACATACACCCACATCCGCACACTAAAAAAAATAAGGAAAAGTAAAAGAAGAGTAACGGGCTAGCAAAAGTACAATCGCGCTGCACGCGGCAGGAATTGCTCGTTGAATCGCCAAATTAGTCTCATTACAATCGCCGCCGACGAAGGGCAGAGTTTCTCGTGAATCCCAAATGAAACTCTTGCATTTTTACTCTTGAATTTGATTGGAACGATGTAGAGACAAGACGGCAAAACGCTTATTCCTAGTAAACAGCCCCCTGTTATTCCTAGATTCGTTTAATTAGAATTTAATTTTAATTTTTGATAATTATTATACTAGGAATCAACATTTTTGTCATAAACAACCAGCCACTTTAATTGCGAACAATTAACTAAACAATATAAATAATCATTGATGATTCATATGTAAATGAATTTCAGATATTCAGAATTGTTATATGTATTAGCTGTAGATTTACTAAAATAAAAGAATTGGCACGCCTTTTTTATTTGATATTATCCTCTATTTTTACCTTGATTTTAAACATTCATCATATTCAGAAAGTTGAAATCGCTTAGCAAATAATATTATAGATAAGTCTGATAAAAGAAGCTTTTTTAAACATTTCCCGTACATTTAATATTTGTTGACGTTTTTTTGCATGTTTAAATTCATTAAGATTAAAAATTAATGTGTACCTTTGAATTCAAAATTGCAAGCTATTAAGTGCAAAACCAGTGCCGTAAATCGACCCAGCGTACAGCTGTTGCCGTGTGCCGACAATAACCATCTACAGGGTGTCATTTAAGTTCCCGCACAACTTTGAAGGCATATATTTCTGAAACTAAAAGTCCAAATCAAACGAGACTTGAAATATTTTTTATCTATACAGGGTGTCATTTAAGTTCCCGCACAAAAGTTTGACGTCATGAAGAGCTTGGCTGTCGCACTTTTCGTGAAACAATACAATTTATTTTTGTTAAATAAGGTATATTTTACTTATTTTCCAAGTTTCACTTCATTCGGATGTGTTTCCGAGAAATGGCGAAGGCTAACATCCATCGCGCTTCCATTATCGAACTTCATAAGCAAAATGTGAGCCCGAGAGCCATCATTCAACGCCTCGGTGTGCCTCGTAGAACGCTTTACGACACCAACAAATCGTCAAAACGAAGCTTGTACTGACCCCATATCGTGTCCAAAAAGCGGCAATTCTATCGGCCGTCAACAAGCAGAGACGCTTCGAAATAGCAAAACGACTTCTTGCGCGCACGCGGTCTGGAGAACACCTCGTCACTGTCTTCTCCGACGAGAAGCTATTCACTATGGAGACGGCATTCTACTCACAAAACCATTGAGTACTTGCCCAGACATCCCAGCAAGCTTCTGAGAAAGGAAGAACAATTCATCGAGCCTCACATCCTGCCAGTGTGATGGTTTTCGGTGCCATCTGCTCAACCGGGAGGTGCCCCCTGGATTTCGTGGATCAGGGGGTGAAAATGAACAAAGAAGTCTACGTTTGGGACATTTTAAAGAAGCATGTGATGCCCTGGACTCAAACGCATTTCGGTGGGCAAAAATGGGTTATTCAACAGGACAGAGCACCAGCCCACAATGCCAAAACTACTCAGGAGTGGTGCCAGACCCATTTTCCCGACTTTATCAAGTCATCCGAATGGACTGATTGCTCCCCAGACCTGAATCAGCTTGACTTTTCCGTGATGGGGTCTTGCAGGAGAAGGTCAACGCAAAACCCCACTAAAGTGTAGAGGCTCTGAAGAAGACATTACTGGCGGCATGGCACAATCTTTCCATCGAATACCTGCGTACCACAGTCGCATCCTACCCGAAGCGTCTCTGTGAAGTCATAGCTCCGAAAGAAGGCCGAATCGAAAAGAGTTAATATAAAATTATTTGTTATACTATAGATAAAAAATATTTCAAGTCTCGTTTGATTTGGACTTTTAGTCTCAGAAATATACGTCTTCAAAGTTGTGCGGGAACTTAAATGACACCCTGTAGTATAACAAATAATTATCTATTAACTCTTTTTGATTCGGTCTCCTTTCGCAGCTATGACTTCACGGAGGCGCTTCGGGTAGGATGTGACTGTGGTACGCAGGTATTCGATGGAAAGATTGTCCCATTCCACCAGTAATGTCTTCTTCAGAGCCTCTATACTTGAGTGGGGTTTTGCGTTGACCTTCTCCTGCAAGAGCCCATCACGGAAAAGTCAAGCGGGTTCAGGTCTGGGGAGAAATCAGGCCATTCGGATGACTTGATGAAGTCGGGAAAATGGGTCTGGCACCACTCCTGAGTAGTTTTGGCAGTGTGGGCGGGTGCTCCGTCCTGTTAAAAAACCTATTTCTGCCCACCGAAATGCGTTTTGGCCCAGGGTATCACATGCTTCTCCAAAATGTCCCGAACGTAGACTTCTTTGTTCACTTTCACCCCCTGATCCGCGAAAACCAGGGAGCACTTCCCGGTTGAGCAGATGGCACCGAAAACCATCACACTGGCAGGATGTGAGGCTGGATGATATGTTCTTCCTTTCTCAGAAGCTTGCTGGGATGTCTGGGCAAGTACTCGATGGTTTTGTGAGTTGAATGCCGCCTCCACAGTGAACAGCTTCTCATCGGAGAAGACAGTGACGAGGTGTTCTCCAGACCGCGTGCGAGCAAGAAGTCGTTTTGCTTTTTCGAAGCGTCTCTACTTGTTGGCGGCCGATAGAATTGCCGCTTTTTGGACACGATATGGGGTCAGTCCAAGCTTCGTTTTGACGATTTGTTCCAAAGCGAAAATGCTCATTCCCACGTCTGACGCCATCTTTCTCATGCTCCTGTGTGGGTTTCGCCTGATCTTCGATTTAACGGCGTTGAACTTCTGAGGAGTGGTTACCGAGACGAGTCTTCCTTATCTGGGACGGTCACTGGTCGTATTAAGTTCCTTGAAACGTTAGATGATGTCGTAAACCGTTCTAAGAGGCACACCGAGGCGTTGAATGATGTCTCTCAGGCTCACATTTTGCTTATGAAGTTCGATAATGGAAGCGCAATGGATGTTAGCCTTCGCCATTTCTCGGAAACACATCCGAATGAAGTGAAACTTGGAAAATAAGTAAAATATACCTTATTTAACAAAAATAAATTGTATTGTTTCACGAAAAGTGCGACAGCCAAGCTCTTCATGGCGTCAAACTTTTGTGCGGGAACTTAAATGACACCCTGTATATACCATCTGTGTCTAATTATTTTCTATTTCGAATTAAGATTTTTCGTTGGTTCACAGCAGCATGTTATGTGATTAACACTGCAAACGCACTCGGGACCCGCTCGGTTTCGACCGTCACGATTCCCGTATTTTTTTTAAATCGGGAGCAACGACACGATCCTCTGGCTCCCGTTTTCTTTTGGACCTATTCATGCCATAAATATTACATTTTGGTCCATTAGGCCCTGGTGCTGCCGGACGGGTTCCGACGTCCAGCCGCAGTACGAGAGCTGTTCGAGTGGGGTGAGTGGCAACCGGCCGCAGCAGTCGGCCCGATCCGGCACACGAGTCTTTTCCGTTTGAATTTATCGCGGTATTTCTCATACTATGTAATGAGCAACTTTTTTTTCAAGTTTTCATGTTAGTTTTGGCCGTACACTGACCGGTTCGAACGATAAATTCAAGTGACTCAATTAGAAATAGAAAATTCTGCACAGAGCAGAAGAAGGATGATTCGACATATTTCAGCTTACCCAATATTTACTTTTAAATTTCGCAATGAATTTACAATTGCAAAGTAAGAGATGAGAATAGAATCTGGGACTAAATTACAATTTTAAAAGATCAGAAGTTCGTTTGTTTGGTTTTTTTTTCAAAAAACAAAATGACAAACCGTGTTGGCATCAAAAGGAAGCCGTCGAATTTATTTCGATTTTAAGTCCCATTACTTAATCGTTGCTTTTCGTTTTCAACTATTTTACTAATTTTTCGTCCGCCTACTTTTCCGAACTAGATTCATTTTTTGTTTGGATTCGTCTTGCAAGTGAGTTGATGACGAAAAACTTGAGAAATTGGCCAAATTTGTGCGAAAATGCAAGATTAATGCGAATCGGAAGGAATTTGCCAATTTCCGATCATCAATTAAAAGCATTCGTTGAGATTCTTCATAATTTCAATTTGTCTCATCCGAATTTAATATTTTTTTTTGATTTCCGTAAAACTTTCAAATGAGCGCATATATATTTGCCGAAATCATTTCCATAAATGTCGTCGTCGATTTGCGTTTTGTGTTTTTCGTGCATCGACGTTTTGAAACAAAAAGTGCATACATGAGAAGATAAATAGAGTTACCCTAAATATACATGTATTCCCAATATGGCCGCTATTTAGCCCGTCATGTATTCGACGTAACAATCTGCTGTCAGATTTAAATTCGTCTTTCTTTATTCATATGATGTTTGAAGAAACTCATTTCGGTGTAATCTGAAATGCTCGTTATTTTTGAGAATGAGACTAGAAGAAAAGCTTAATCATTTCCCATCCATCTGACCTTGAATATATCACATTTTGCGCATACAAATCGTTTTCGACGGCTCAACTCTCGCTCCATCTCTCTCGTGGGACCATTTTTGATTTGGGGGGTGTTCGTTCCACGCCGACCCCAAATGGAGCTTCAACCACTCGTTCTTCATACCCCTCCTCACCACTCAAAATATTGGAAGGAGGCGGAGTAGCAGCAAAACTAAAAATGGGGGGGGGAGGAGGAGACCTCGTTTGAGAAATATTCCGATGCGAAATGCACCGGGTCTCATCCCATCTGTCTAGCTCAAATCCATTTCGGTGTATGCATTTGTCTTGACGTTTTTTTTCCTTCTCGTCCCGTTTCGTTGCGTTCGGTTTAGTCCCGCCTGCGCCGAGAAGAAAAAAGCCCGCCGAGCAAGAAAGTAACTCAACGCCCGAAATGAACTCATTTCCGAGAAACTCGGAAATTCGGTATTTTCAGTTTTTCGTTTCATTAGCTTCTTGCAAAGGGTTTGTGGCAAAGAATTGTTGTTTTTCATGTTAAGTCGAAAAATGTCGACTGTGTGTTATTTCTATAGGCTCATCCGAGCCATATTCTAGAGATCTCCCGCTTCTAAAGACCCGTCTCATCCCGACAAAAACCGTCGTGCATTTAAAATTGATATTTCGTGTGATGCCTCAAAACAATCTCATAAACCTCCCAGACTATAATATGCATGCTATCTGCATTCCTTTTTTATCATTTCTATTCATTTTTCTTTAAATAATAAAAAAGAGAAGGCGATTTTTTTGAGTGCCTCCTGGTATTAACTAAGTGCCTCATTTTTCTTCGTCTCCGAGTTGATGTTCGCCGATTTCACGTTTCGCTATTTTTTCTTTCGGCGAGAATTGAACCCGAAATTTTTCTTTTAATTTTCAGATAGAATTGATGCCCAAAATGTGGAGATGAAGCGCCGCGCTATTTGGTTTCTCGTCATCGTTGCAGTTTTTGTACGTGCTGTCGAGTCGGAAACACAACACGCCCATAAAAGGAAAAGCAAGAGTCGCATATTAGTGCAACACAATTCACAAGGTATCGGTAAATCCAATTATGTTTTGGAAAAGTCTGAACTAGGCAAAATCATTGGGTAAAAAAAACGTTCGATAATTTCTTCATATAAGGAGATTCTAGTGAACTGCCTTTGTAGTGGAACTTTTCAACATAATTTAAAAAAAGATTATTAGATCATTAAAAGATCGAAGATAAAGATAAAGGATATAAGATAAGAAGATAATTATTAGATGAAAATTCGACAATTTTGCGATTACTGAATAGATAGTTCCAATTGAGAGCCTTAAAATTGAAAATTGCAAAAAACCACCAAACAATGAAATTGATAGATGACACGTCGCCGTCGTCGAAAAATCCAAAACTCGAGTTTGGGTCGAACGACGATGGGGATGATGACGATGAGAAAGACGACGACGATTTGCCCATGAATCGAATGCGGCGTGCATTTGGCCGAACCGACTATCTGTTGCCCGAAAACTTTAAGACTCTTCGACGAGCCGACATCCCGGTGACCTATCGACTTCATGACGATCTTCTACGATATTACAGGTTCGTCATCGTGTGTAGATTTTTTATTTTGCATCGCTTCGTTACCCTCTTTGTTGGAATGAGATCCCTTGAGAGCTTTTCAGTGTCTGACATGTTGCATTACGGGATTGTGAGGCAACGGGAGAAAAAAAGTTGACGTCAGTACAAAAATTCGAGGCGTTTTGTGAGGAAAACGTGTGAAATATGATGGACCAAAACATTTCCTTTTTTTTGGAATAACAAAAAACAAAAAAAATCTTATGAAGGGATTGAACGATTATAAGTTTGGACATTTTTGAACTAAAAAAATGTTAAAAATCACAATGTAAATGATTTTTGTGAACAATTTTGTATATTAATAATTCGTCCATCTGGGGACATTTGAAATCAAAAATCACTCAGAATATTTGATGAATCATAATGGCTCAATTTATCGCTCAAATCCCAATTTTTTTTTGGTGTCTCGCTTACACCTTTCTTCTTCATCGCCATGCCCAATTTTCGCCTACATGCATATTTCCGTACGACTCGAGTGCAATTAGTCTTCTTCAATGCCCGACGAAAAAAAAAGAGCGGCTCCATTTCCATAAAAGCAGGGACCGCGTTAATTGTTTTCGCATCGTTTAATTGATTTATCCCGCCCGCCACCAACCACAACATGATCATCGCGATATTTCGACGATTTTCAGGAAAGGGACCCGACCGGTCACACATCCGAAAAAGGTCATCTCAGTGTCAATGAGCGTGTTTTTATATCAAATTGTGAAATTGGTGAGAAAAAAAAAAGAATTGATCTTTATCTATAAAATACCCGTTTCAGGATGCCGTCAAAAACACAATTAGTCTCTCCGGAAGTTTTGAGCTGGTGAGTTTTATTCGATTTTTTGTGGTTTCACCGGAACCAGATCGGTCAAATAGTCGAAGATCTTGCGGTACCTAAAACACTCGAAAGGGTCCCATTTTCGGATCTTCAAGAAGTTAGTCGAACCTTTTGAGCCATTTCGTTGTGGCTCCTCGTCCATCGACAGTAATCACACGCTCCTCAATTGTGTTCGGATTGACGAGTTTGAACATTCGTTTCGATTTGACAATTTCCGGTCGCGAGATCCCTGGCATCGTTTTCTTGTATTTTGTCTCGAGGCGAATTTGGTTTCCGCGTACAGTACCCTCCTCAATAAGCATCATTCCTGGAAATGAGCAAAAATGAATTATTCAGTAGAAAAAGCCTCTCGAAAAAAAAAATTAATTTGTGTGCCGTCCATTAGTATCCAAAGATTTTCTCACAACATCATTTTCCAAAAAAAAACCTTTTTAGAACCGAAAAAAATGGTATTCGTTCTTATTTTCGTCTTAATTGTATTTTGTCGTCTTCACTCTATACGGCTACCTTAGGGAATTCGTTGGGCGAAACCAGAAAAACAAATAGAAACTTCGAGATAAACTTTCGGACCTGTATTGGTGACGAGCTCAATCGACACCAAATCATCGCCGGTTTCGGGTTTGTCGACCTCGACGAATCCGGTGTCCTCGTGAAACGGCTTCGACGTGAGGAACCCGAATTCGGTGTGAACGTCGCGGCCGTCAAACGTCTCGGCGCGAATTCTGCAATCACCAACATAAACGGCAATGTTTGAAACGGGACCCCTCGAGCGCACGGGCCGGTTTTGGTTTTGCATGAATGAGCGCACCCTGGGGAATTTCGCGCACGACGACTTTTCTTTCGACACACCGTCATCCTTCTTTTTTTTTCGTTCCGAGAATCGCATACTCACACTTTGAAATATCGCTTCCGAGCCACTCATTTTTGCACCTTTGGAAGTGATCACAAATCGGAAAAATGAAGATAATCTCAAAACAAATGATCAAATCGTGAATTTTTCATAAATTTTGAGAATATTTACAGCCATATGAGGCATGTATAACATGAAAAATGTCTCAAATTTCAACGTATTGCAATTGATACATATTTCCGGCGGCAATGACTTACGAGATGTTGACGGGCGGCCGATCAAACGCTGGCACTTCCGATATTTGGACGTCGAGAATTTCCGAATAGGGACCGCTCATTGGCTCAGGGAATCTGAACAATTTCAATGATTATCGCAATTGTGCGAATTGTGGTCCGAACCGGTGCGAAGCGCTTGTTCGTGATTCCCAGCGACCCACAAACCAAGCGATATTGTCAAGAATTGGTGGCAGAGCAAGTGCGAGTTCTAGAAAATGCACAATTGAAAATAGATTCTTATTAAAATGACAAAACGCGCTCTATTGCTAAACGAACCTCGTCCACTTGATCTACACTGTCCGCAGGAGAGTGCACAATTATCGGCAAAGAACGGCGAGATTGGACGCGTCCAACTGCATCGATCTTCCGATTTCCATCGCTTGCAACTCTTGTACACGTCTTGGCATGGTCCTTTAAATAAATTTAATATTTTGAAAATTTTGAAATGCACCAACGCTTGCACTTTCTGCCCATCAACCCATGAGGGCACTCGCATCGGTTTCCTAATCCAAGCTCCACACATTTTCCTCCCGGACCACATGACAAGTGATCCGATGGATCACAGAAATCAATGACTTGAAATTGAAAATTTGAATGAATTTCATGTCGATTTGTAATTTGACTTACTCGCCTTTGTAATAGTTTGTCCGCGAACTTGATCGACCGATATCGCCAGGATTACTAATAAAAAAAGTTGGCCTAACATCTGTAAACATTTGGATTGATTAATGGAGAAATAAAAACAATATAAATACGTGTGAAAGATACGTAATATCTGTTATCATCAATTCGTTGCGATTCATCCATGGTTCTAGTTTTAACCAACACTCACACACACACACATGCAATGCAAAAGCCTAGTGAACAATTGAAAGTTAAGCAACACCGTGTTGCGCAATCCTAATCGAAAAATGAATTAAAAAGCCGAATTTGAATTCCAAGGACATTTGCATAGCAAACAAGGCAGTGTGAAAAAGAAAAAACTAGGTCCTGGCCGGGTTCGAACCGGCGACCTTCTGCGTGTGAAGCAGACGTGATAACCACTACACCACAGGACCGGTTGAGAGTGAGAAACGGAGCTCGGTGGAGATGCTCGCGCCACGGCCGCCGCCGCCGCCGGCCTAGAATTTTTTGCAATGTGAAAATGTTTGGCAATGAGACGAAAAACTGTATACTTCTTGATAAGTGCCACCGGTTTCCAATAAGTATACACTATTTCACAAACGTAACACGGAAATGATCTAGACTATTACAACCGACAAACTGGAACCGGTAAAAGCGAGTCGAACTGACCAATCAGTGAGAGAGAGATAGTAAATAAACGAATTGGCATTGTTTCAGTATTGGGAGGACGATTTTCTCAAATGGAACCCATCAAGTTATGAAGGCGCCGAGGAGATTTTCCTATCGAGCTCCGACATTTGGATTCCAGAATTTTCACTTTATTACAGGTACTTTGAAAAATGGAATAATTGGTTCTGGGAAAGTTTGAACCGGCGACCTTACGGAAGAATTCTTCCTCGTTCCATTCCAAAACCATATTAGGCATCAATAAACAAGCACACTCTCACTTTCAATTATGATTTAGCCGCCAAAAATTGAAGAGAACGCTTTTTGCGCAAAGGTCTATCATCACATGACATTCGAAAAAATCGAATTAAATTCTTCTTGGGTTTTTCAAAACAGGAAGAAGTTTGGGTTGTTTTTTTTTTCAATTTCTCAAATTGGTTTTTCAATGGAAAACAAAAAAAGTAACTGTGGACAATTTCCGCGAAGACATTTTAAAATGCAATAAAGATTTTCGGTCATTTTTCAACAATACCTCATCGAATCGTCAAAACAATGAAAAACACGTCTTCCGCGAAAATTACTCAATCAAATAAACATAATTTCGGCGCTGGCCGGCTTATTACTGTAATTGCCGGCTGGCCGTCTCCTTCTTTCAAATCGGCGTTCTTTAGTTTAGTATAGGCGAAAAATTGATGAGGATGAGACGAATCGCAAATGTGGCTGATTGATTCAAATGAACTAACTAAATAACTAACTATAAGGAACACATATGTTGAGTAAAGAAAGCGAATGTTGCAGAAAACAACGCGAAAAAAAACTTGAGAAAGACCTGTTCTACACTTTAACATAAAAAAAAAGAATCTTTCTATTCTCATTCGACACGATAAAGTGTGAAATATGTGAGATATGTTGGCCAAGTAATCAGCGGGGCGATGTTTTTTTGGTCTGAAAAAAATTGGTCGTTGATATTTTGAGAGAGAGAGAGAGGCTCGTATTCTAGATGCTTCTTTCTTTCAGTTTGAATTTCAACGATGCTGTCAAATTGCAATCCAGCAATGATATCCGCGTAAACTATACGGGCCACGTTCGGTATTACATCCCATTTTCATCTGAATCCCTTTGCAAACTTGACGTCAAATTTTTCCCGTTCGATGTGTAAGTTATTTGACGAATAGAATTGGATTCAATGAATCTGTTCAGACAACAATGCATGTTGCTCTTTGGCTCATGGGCTCATTCGAATGATTCAATTAAATACTCATTGTACTCTCAAAATCTCTCCTTAATTGATTTCTACGATAATCAGGAATGGGAGTTGGATACGGTAACGAATCAATCAATAATGTTGACTTAACTAATCGCAATTTTAGATGAACAGCTCTGTGCGATCCGACGGATTCCTCTATGATTATTTGGATCCTCCATTATTCTGGGAAATGATCATTATAACATTAGTAATGAGGCGACAGAGTTTCTATTACGGTAGGCGGCATTTGATACCCAACGAGACCAAAATTTGATTTTGTCCAGTGTTTAACCTGGTTATCCCTAGTACCATGATCACATTGGTATCAGTGATTGGATTCCACACACCTAGTACAAGTGGAAGGGTCCGTGACGCAAAATTTCGGCTTGGTATAATGACACTGATGAGTATGTCCGTCATCCTTCTCGCCATCGTCGAGGACATGCCCAAATTCAGTATGGGAACGAATCGAAGGGGTCGTGGCTCATTTTCCGGAATACCGTTGATAGGTACACGATTTTAACATGAAATTCATCATATTTGAAATGATTCAGGTCTTTACTATTTCATATTGTTAGCAATTATCGGAATGAGTACGGTAACCACTTCAATGTTCGTGTTTCTCGAACGAGATGTGAGAGCGACACATGCGGTTCCTTGGTATTTGAAATGGTTATCATTTGACATATCCCCATCAATAATAGCAAGGTCCGTCCATTTTATTCAAATTTTTACTTCGCAATTTGTTGCAATTTTAGGAAGTTTTCTCAGTACCGCACACAGACATTGAGCGAACCTCCATCCGTAAGTGATTTCAAGTTTCAGACGTAACTTGCATGCGCATGTCATGTGTTTTTAATCCTTTTTGAACAATTCATGAATGTATCCCCACACCCTGCAGGAACACCTCCTTTCCAACGGTCATGTTCGAACTGGAGCTCGGGATAAAGCTCGTGGTGTTGCCGCTTCCCTACTCTCACTTTTGCCGCGAACGAGTCAGGATAACGGAGCGAGTCCGTTTCACATGCAGCACCTGCACGCCTTCCACCAGCAGGTTTCCTTATTGTTTTATTTTTTACAATTTTTAGTTGTACGCAGGAAACGTAGCCCGAAGCATCTCGTTTTAAATTGAATCGTTAGACTCAGTTAGTCGTAAACATACCCTTTGCGGCGGAATTTTCATGAAGGAATTAATGTTTCGCTATTGTAGGAAGAATCGAATCCCCGTGAATCAATACGACGTCGTCTTAGCATGTCACATTACGATAATATGCTGATTTATCAATATTATGAGCAGGCACTCGAAGATATCGCAAATGGGGTCACACAGATGGATAGTATTATTAAGGAAATCAGGCACTTTCAAGAATTAGAATTTATGAATATTTATTACGAATATTCCAGACAAGAAATGATTAATTTCCTACCACAGGATGATTCAAAGACGGCCTGGCAGGCTGTGATCCGCCGCCTTGAGATCATTTCACTTATTTTCTACATTTCAGTACTATTCGTCACTATGTATCTGTTCTTTTATCATGATTGGTTTAAAAGTTTTTCGCTATTTTAGCAAAAAAATCAATTTCAGGTACTGTGCAATTGGTCACAATCCATGCGGGCAACAAAATTTGAAATGCCCTTGGATGGTTCATACACCGGAAGATCCACATTGCGAGCACAACACTTACAATTGAAATTATCAGAAGACACTCATCATTATAAATCTTCGGGTTTTAAGGTCAATCATCCTTTGCTCAATTTCAAATAAACATTTTCAAACATGTAAAATTTTATCATGTGTAACAACAACAAGGGCGAGTTTACTTCAGCTCCTTGACTTGAATGCCTGGTGGAAGCGATTGCTTGAGCTTCTCGGCCTTGTCCTTATCCTGAAATATGAAGTTGATGAAAAATACTGATATTGACGACGTCGCGCGAAGGCAGAAAATAGCCGAAACGCGAAAAAAATTTAAAGGTCTTGTGGGGCAATGTGCCCCATTAGGTCATCTTTTTGTTTAGCCAATAAATCTTTACAATTTAGTTTTACGCCATGACCTTTTCCAATTTTATAAAAAAGAAGGATGAATATTGTCGACGTCGCACGACTTCGAAAAATTGGGTAAACGTCAAAAAAAATTCAGTGAGACCACGGGTGTGCTCTTTCAACCTATCCTTATGATCAGCTCATAAATCAATTTTATATTTTTGTTGCGCCAAGGCCACTGCCATTGTTTCTTTTTTGGCATATAGCCAATTGTCCGTAGTTGCGCGATGTCGACAATATGCCCGATTTTATAAAACATCGGAAAAGGTTAACTAATACAAAAACTAAACATTCAAATTGTGACAATTTCTGAGATGTCTTATAAATTAATATATATCGGTGGGATTGTGAAAAATTAATTTTTACATTAAAACTTTTTGAATATTAAAAAACTCACTCCGACGACCAAGGTGTAAAGGTACTTGCTGCATCGGACCTTGAACTTGGTGTTGTTGCTGTTCTTCTTTATCTTAACAGATTTGGCGTCCTTTCTGCGAGCCTTCACCAGGAACTCTTTGATTTCCTTAATTTCTTTTGGCATCGTGATGGTGATTACCTAAACATACAGAAATATTAGGATGAAAACTACGGAGGGAAAATGGAAAGACATTTTAAATTCGCAAAGTGTTAAAATACACGGATAATCACTTAATTAGTTAGTCTAGGGAAAATTTTAAAAATAACTTAAATAACAGTAAAAATTTTAACTGTGCAAAACCACAAATTCAACTTTTCTTGGTTCAAAAAGCGAAAAACTGAAAATTCTATACGAAACGACAGAGAAAGGGACTACGGTAACACTTTTACGGGTGTACGTCAGCGGGGCGAGACCGCAGCGTATAAATATATGCGCCTTTAAACCTTTTTCCACAATATATTGGAAATAAGATATTGGCTTGAAATTTTAGACTTTTTACGTAATGAAATTCTTATCTTTCATTTTATTTATACTTTTTGAAAGATAAAATTGTTAAAATAAATGTTGTATTTTTAATAAGCCCTTCCATGTATCAAATTGTCTTTTCTTTACTATATTATTAATTATTTAATTATTGAAATTATTGAAACTTATACCTTATGGACCCAAAAAAATAATTTAATGATTAGGTCCATTTTTTATAAACCGTCCATCCTTCTTTGTGAATATGAATGCATTTAGAACTTCATTTTAAAATCCACAATAAGTAATTGTTTATCTCAGAAGAATCGAAACACGTCAGAATAGAGCATCACAGAAAGAACAAAACTAGAAATATCTGACAGAATGTTAATACAAGTTTCCTACAAAAAAAATATTTACATCGTATAAGTACAATCTAAAATGAAAACATGCGATTCGGTTTAACTTTCTGTTGGTTTTGGTCGTTATAGCAATAAAAATGGGCAAGGGTTCCATCAGGATATCGAACAAAAGCACTAACACCGAGCTTTTTTCCACAAACAACACATTCCGTAGAATGATTTATGGCAATTTTAATGGATTCAGCTGCAAGTTTTTTAGCCTGCCGTTTTTCCAATGCACATTGTGAAACACATTTTTGGAGTGAACACTGAAAACAATGAAAAAGATTCTGTTATCTTGGGGATCTTACCATATTTGAAACGTCATTAGTGGTTTGGACTACAGCATTTAAAGCAGAAGAAACTATTCTCAACGGAGTTTGAGATGGGAGAAGACTTAATGCAGAAACTGAAATATTGTATTTAATTATTTAATTAGTCAAAATTGCGAAAACTTGTTGGTATTTTGTCCGCGTGTTTGGCTAAAATCTTGATTGCCTCATTCACATCAGCAATATTTTGCGCCGAAATTGTAGACGCAGCAGTAGTGGCAGTAGAAATTTCAGACAAATCATCACGATATGAGCCAAATGGTGAAATGATTTGCTCAGTTGGCGGGTTTGATGAAGACACAAGAGCTCGGAAAAGTTGCAGAAATACCTTAAATGGTTACTGAAACTTATAAATTGTTTTTCAAAAATTACCTGAGAATTCACTTCATCGTATGGATTGTAATAAAGTTCACAGTATTTTTCAGCAGCTTCATTATTTTTCAATGTGGAAATATATATGGCCAACGCTTTGTCATGTTGTTTCAATCGTCCATATATTAAAGCGCGTTCCTCGTAAAAAGCTGAAAATGAGGAGAACTGAAGTTTGTTTGGTTTTAAACCAATTATACCATGAGGCGAAAGCTTTAGAAGCACAGTTTGGGGGCTGTAAGCTTGAGAATATTGCAAAAACTTCAGAAGTCGTTGACGGTATATTCCAAGATCGCCTTCTTCCTCTCCTGCTCGAGTCATATTCTCATCTGAAAATTCCAGAAATAAATTGAGTTTTCTAACTAAATGATTACCATCAGGAAAAGCGTGCACGTATTCCTTGAACAACGCGTTCACTTTAAATACGTAATATTCCAAAAGGGTCTCGTGGAAGAACGCGTCGGTCTCTTCCCATTTGTAGATGACATGCTCCAAATATGGGATCAAAGCCGGTACGCATTCATTCATCATGAAGTTCACAACTGCTCGTCGATCCAAATTTCGCGTCATTTCGGTTTCGTCGCCAATGAAAATTTGAACTCCCGCATTCAAATCCTTACATAGAACCCATTTAGCGTATCGAAATATCAAATGAATATGGGCATTTCCCAATGATTGAAGATATTCGACAATTTTCTCAATTGCATCATTGAAAAACGGATCGCAGTCACCCTTTGAAGATTGCTCAATGAGCAGATCAAGTGCTGAATTGATTTTTTCATCGCATCAAACATACAACAAAAAACAACAAACCCATTTCATGTTTTTTCCTTGATTCGTATAAAATAAACAGTGACCGAATCCTATTTTCTTCTTTTAAAATCGATTCAGCATCGTCGAAAGTGCAGGCGTTATTGTGCAATCGAATCAGAGAATCCACCAATGTCGGTTTCGTCTTCAATTATGTTTATAATAATTAATTGCCAAATTGTTACCCTATTATTGGCATTTTTAAATAATAATAATGAAACCTTGATGTAACAGCGTAACAAGGTTGTATCTACAACACGAAGTGTTAGCAGCAACTTATTGATATCATCATGACCAGATCGACTCCTACTTTTATTGTGAAAATCGATTTGTTTCGCATATTCCGTTCTTATCTGCAAATAAATGATTTTCTAATTGAAACCTTTCAGTAATTGACTTGTGATAAAAAGTTTCCCAAAGCCAGCATTGCCCTCATTTTGTCATTTGTCGCGAGATCTAAAGCATGTGGACTTCTTTTCATTCCTTCAGGAAGCAAATCAGGGAACATTTGAAGAATGGTAAGCACTTCTGAAAATTAATAAACGACTTCAAAGTATGAAATCAGCAAAATTGCCTGTTTTTATTTCGCCAAACAAGGCAAAAGATTCATCAAACTTTTTTTGCTGAAATAAATTGAGCGCCGCTTGTCGCTTAATTTCAACTTTGTTCTCTTCTGAGAATAAATTTGATCCTTCCTAAATAGAACATTTATATTCGAATCTAAATCTAAAACGAACGGTGAGTTGAATCGCTAGTTCAAATTGTCTTTCCTGAATTAATTTCGAAACATTTTTGCGCAAATTGACTGATGTATCAAGAAGCCAAATATCATTAGTTGCTGCGATAAACACTTGCCCTCTGAAACAAATGTGTTTTTTTCTTTCTCATTTATAATGCTTAGCGAACCTGTGACCATTACAAAGAGTAAATGCTCTGTTAAACGACAAGGTTTGAATGGTAGAACCATCAAAAGATGATCGAACTTCAACGCGTCCCTTCGAAAGCATTGCAACGAGGTATGGAGCATCGTAAACTAAAATTGCGTCTGATAATAACGAATATGAAAAGTTCGAAAAACCTAGTTGAAGAGGAGATTCCGAAAATTTAAATTCTTCTGGTGCTTTTGATCCTTCTAAATTCGTCGTAACAACTTTTTCGTTTCGAACAAATGCAATTCTGCCTCGGTCTTGCATGGGAATTATTCCAGGAATTGATTGAAAGTTAAGAAGGGGATGGATAAAGCCGCTCCAGGTCTAAAATAACAGCAATCTTTGTGTAAGAACCTGAAATTTACCTCTTTCTCAGAAGATGAGTCTTTTTTCATCATCATGCAATAGTAATCACTACGGCTAGCAAAATATATTCGTTCATCGACGCATCTTTAAAAGGTATTTAATGAAGTAAACTGCTAATAAAGCTCACTTTATGCAGGTTGGGGTATCGGTGAAGACAGGATTATAGTCGAAGGAAACTTCCACAAAATCATCATGGCCTTCATTTTGTCCCCATTTGAATAGAAACAATTTCTTCTTCGAGGAAACTAGTAAGTAAAGTGTTCCCGATCCTTTTGGCTCATACTTTGCAAAAGTTGTAACTGGTTTCACTTTGTGCAACAACGTTTCAACAGCGTATTTTGTATCATTTAAGCGATGGGCTACAAGCTGAAATTCAATTTTTACCCTACACTTTATTTTTTCCAATTTATACTTGTCCTCCTGATACACAAAGAAGAATTTCCTCACGCTCACACACACTTAATTCTAATACCGAACTCCTTTCAAAGTTTTTGCACATATTCGTATATTCGAAGCCTCTTCTATCTAAAAAATGCAAAATTTAAATATTCATGAAGCTTCTTACTAGTGGATGATGTGAATACGAAAAGGTGGCCAGTTTTGCCACCGGCGAGAACACTGCTGCTAGATTCTGAATATTTTATTAATCGATTTAATATTATAATATTAACTCAGTACGTTGATATGTGAGGCATGCTACTTCAACAGGAAGCTTTGGAGCAACTTCACTTGGCGTGTAGGCTTCGAACATTTTCCATTAGCTAACCTGAATAAAAAATCAATTTTTGAATTCATATTTCATGAGTTTTCTATTAAACTGTTGTCCAAACAATACCTATTGTGACTCATGTTTTAATGAAAAATGAAAAAAAAAACCTCAATTTAAAACGAAATACAATTACGATAAATTGCGGGCAGTGTGTAAATTCTGGATCCTTGTACATTTGTGTGTAAGGGTGAGAATACTGTATTTTTAATCGTTCACGAGATAACGTATTCTCGTTGCTATTTTGGCATTCAAAAATCAATATAAGAATCCGTAAGTCTTCAATGAGTTATGGGCGAAAAATCAAAACCATACTCCTAAATTGTCGCTAGTGTTTTAAAGTAAGACATGCCCAAAGTTCGTTTGTTTAGTTAATTCGATACTTGGCACAAGAGGAAACGGAAAATTTTTTAACGGTTAACGGGAAACAGTTTTCCTCTGAACATTTAAAGGCACACATGTTTTTATCGCATGAAATAAGTGTTTTTATTTCACAGTAACTGGAAATCATCCGGGTTTTCTGCTTCCCAATGGAAAAATTTTCCTCTTCCCGGCGGAAATGGAAAGGCAACTTCTTTATCACGCTTTTCCGCGGAAACGGAAAACGGAAAGGAAATTCCGTGCAATCCTGCCCCATATAGAATTTTCTATCATTCAGTTGCTCCATTACTGTACGTGATTGGATCCAGTTCGTTTAATTTCCCACTAAACAGAAATATCAACAGAACTGATAATAATACAAACTAATTTAAAAAAAAGCGACTTGAGATGTTCGGGAATGTTAATATTTAAGGAGATTCGATAGTGTTTACATTTACGTTCTGATTAATATATTGTTATTGATGCAAAAGCCTGAAAAGGATATTTGTGAGAAATAAACAATTTCTCGCAATATCCATTATTCAAATTTCGATGTGTTCAATTCCTTGTTTAGTTGCGAGCGAAATATGCATAATAAACTCGATTTGATGTTTTTTGAGAGTTAAAAATACACACAAACCCAATGATTTTCCTCAACACATCCAAAAGTTGCTCATATTTGCCAAATCATTCATTTGGTGTGTTCGCAATTTGGTTATGTCGTTTTCTGAATGATGTCAATTGCAGATATCCTTGTTGAGCTTACCGTAAGCATCATTTCACAATTCTCACACCATTTTTTAATTGAATTACACTTTTACATTTCTATTCAGCTCTCAAAAATTGAGTTAAACTTTTTTAATTGGAGCCTACTCGCATTCTCACAACTTTCAAATTCGTGGGCGGAACTGAAAAAATGGAGGCGAGATTCTACTAGAAAACACTCACTAATTTGGTTTAAATTGTCAGAAAAACGCCAAAAAAAACAAGCGAAAAATCAAATCAAATTCGCAATTTTCTTCTTTTAATTCACTATTTTTTTTTTCATGTCCAGGATTTTTCGTTCATTTCGTGAAATGAATCTTCATTTCTTGAATATGATGGATGATCACGCTCACGAAAGTGTGGTTTTTAGTTCGATATCTTGCGGAAAATTGTTCGCAATATTTATTTAAGAATATACGAAAATTTCGCAAACATCACTCGAACTCCCACATCATAAGTTCGGATTGATGTTTGCTGGAAACTTGCGGAAATTCAGAATTCTTGCTGTAACCAAAAATCAGACTTTTTCAAATTTAATAATTTCTAAAAAAATTTTGACATTTAATCGCATTCGGTGATTGAGAAAGGTTCCATTTCTAAACATTTGTCAAAAAACTTTTTTATCTATGTACAGTGCTGGCCATAATTCTATCCAAAACCACATTTTCAGCCATAACTTTTTTCAAAATTTCCCGATTGATCTGAAATTTTGACAGAATACGCGAAGCAGTTTTTCAACAATTTGTATCTTTTTAATTTTCATTTTTTTTTAATTTTTTGTTTATTTGAATTTTTAGTTTTTTTTTTCCATTAATGATTATTGTAATGTATAAGACGCCTCTAGTAGGTCATAATTTTTTCAAAAGTGCTCAAAAACATGATACTATAAAAATCTGTTTTTGCGACACTCTTGGCTTCAATCTGAAATTATGTGGTCCCAAAAATACATATATTAGATTTGCAAGATTCTCTGCAGCTATAAATACTGCAATATGTCAGAATACTTTCCTTGAAGTCTGCTAGTTGGTTAGATTTTTAAATTTTATATTACATAATATATCTTCTGGAAATATTCCTGATACTTTGCTGTTCCAACTTGATTTCAATCGCCTATTTTGAAAAATCTGCATTTTATTGCTCGTCCTCGATTTGATTAGCTTTTACTCATACATGCCATATATATCTATAGCCGGGAAAGAAATGAGAATTTTAACGACCTTTTTTCGGACCATTTTTGCGCATCCAATTTCTTTCAGTTTTCCTCAAAACGATTAGTACACATTTCATCCATTTCTAACATAGTGACCATCACCAATGGCGATTCAATTTATCCTCATCCACGCGAGCTTTGTGTTTCTGTTTTTTTCTCAATTTCATTGGATTCTCTTCTTTTTTTTGGTGTATAGTTGGTCTGAAACCAAAATAGCCAATGATTTTTGGTGCCTCTTCCCCGATTTTTCGGCCTAGTTTTTTTTTGCTTTCTATAAATAATAAAAGATGCGTCATTTGTGCTTATTTTAATTTGCCATCTATCCCCATTTTTCACTCTCCACTTAAAAGAATATCAATAATTATTTTCAGATGTACCTATTCATTTTCAGCCTATTTCTACTTAAAAATTCAGCGCAAGAGGTTTGTGCCAGTCATATGCGGGACAAAGAGGGTCCGGAAATTTTCGGAAAACGTTTTCGTTTGATCTTTAACGTCTACAGTAATCTTTGTTTGAAAAAAAAACGCCTTCGTTTCCCAAACAGAAATTCCAGGCTCGCGCAAATTCGAAGAATCCTATAGCAAAAATTTGCTTTTGGAATGATAAATTTGAGAATTTTCAGAAGTTTCCAGGAGCCTCTCAAAACATTCCAATGAAAATCCTATATAAGACCTTGTTTTCAGATTATATGAAGGTCAGCTTTTCAGAGAAAAAAGCATTTTATCATTTTACGGCTTAGGAAATCCGTCCAGTTCACAATGATTCTCAAACAATGCATGTTCAAGTCAAATTTTGGCTGAAGCAGATTTTGAAGGTTGACGAAAGAGATCAAATTGTTAATATTTACTGTTGGCTGGAATTGGTAAACTTTGAATTTTCGCTGTAATCATTTCAATTTTTTCTGAATTTTGCAGTATTGGAAGGATGAGCTGCTCACATGGGATCCAAGACAGTATGGGAACTTGACCAGGATTCACGTGCCAGCCGACAAAATTTGGAAACCTGATGTTCTTGTATACAATAAGTACGTTTCTGTTAAATTTTAATGGGTCGCATTAATGAAAATTGCGTAGGAGTTTAGCGGGACCAAAAGTATGTTTACATTCTTGTTAGCTAACTTAAAATTCCTTTCAAAAAATTTTTTGCGGCTGGTTTCGCACCCCTCAAAATATGTGAACAAACTATATGTAAAATATTTTCTTTTTCTGGCAAAACTAGTAAAAATGCAAACTTTATTTTATCTATTTTCGAAATTCCTTCATGTTATTCGTGATTCGTTCAGTGCGAATATGAATGTGGAAGAGAATGAAATGGAAACAAATGCGATCATTGATTATCAAGGAAATGTGATGTTGTTCCGTTCGATGATCACCGATATTAGCTGCAATCTTAATCTTCAACAATTTCCGTTCGATCAGCAAGTGGGAGCAATCTATTTCTGGAAAAAAAACAATTTATTACGAATTCAGGTGTGTTATGTAACATTTGCCTCTTGGAGTATGGATGGAAGCAAATTAAGCCTTTCACCAACACCAAAAACCGACAATTTGGAACTTTATATACGGAATACTGAATGGTCGCTAACAGATTTTAGGTATTAAATCAAATAATACGATATTTTTTGGAGAATTAATATTCCAGAGTGAAACTTTATGAGAAAGTCTACGATTGCTGCCCGCATCCATTTCCCGACATCACCTATTTTATGGTCTTACAGCGAAGCCCCTCATACTACATTTTCAGGTAATCTCTATTTAAAATTTGAAATTTGCCCATGGATATGTTTAGTCTCGTAATTCCATCTGCATTTATCACCGTTGTTACTATTGTGGGATTCTTTACGCCTCACTCAACTACTGGTGAAAACACGGAAAAAGTCTCGCTTGGTGTCACCGCCTTACTGTCAATGGCAATTATTAGTAAGTAGAATACATTTTGAAATAAAAAATATTGATATTTGTAGTGATGATGGTCTCTGACGAGGTTCCAGCAACGTCCGAAGTGATCCCCTTAATTGGAAAATACTACATTGGCCTAATATTTCTGATATTTATGGCCGCGTTCACAACAACACTCACACTTTCCTACCAGATGCGCGGCAATTCTGGTCAGGAGGTTGATCCGCGAATTCGCGACTTCTTTTTTTATTCGATTGCCGCCAACTCACTCATCTCCTGGGCATTCTCTTTTCAATTACCCAAAAAATTGTTAAGATCCGACAATCGAAAACATGCAAGTTTTGAACTAATAAAAATTTTCAAAATTATCGATTTCAGTCATTGTTCTATGCCAATCATACAAACGGGTTCTTCAAAAGCGGTGTAGATCAAAACGAAATCCGGCGTTCCGCTCATATTGTGCGAATGGAAGAAATCACTGGAAGCGTCAAATCTTATACGGTATTTCCTTTAAATTCATTGATTACAAATTTTGTTTATTCTTTATATTCATTCTTCTCTCATTCCATTTCCATTAATCCTTTAGTAAATTTTGCTTACCTTGCGAACTTAAAACGTCCAAATCCATAGCTTCTCAAAAATTATCCAAATTAGGATTACGACTCGCGTTTCACATCCGCTAGTGTACGGATTATTTCTGCAGACATTCAAAAATCGAATGAAACATTTAACGAAATTGTCTGGCGATTGAAAAGAGTACCAATAGACAAACTTTTCATTGTTTACTGAAACACCTCAATACTCTTTCTAGCCATGAAAATGAATATTCAGATGTCAACGGAAGGCACACCTCATCCACCAGGGACGACGAATCAACTGACAGCTAGCCTTCTTCAAATCCGTCTCATTCTGGATGATCTTAAAACTTCGATTCAAGCAGGTTTGGTGTTTTATTTTTGCCTATCACATGTCACGAAACGGAAATTATCATACTATATCAGATATCATATTACTGCCAAGATCAAACATTTATAATTCGTTTCCTTTGGGTGTAAATAAGAAGTTTAATGTTTTTTTCTCGAGAAAATTGTGAGCCACGTTGCTCGGGGATTCGCGTGGGTTGAGCGCAGAGTTGGGTGCAATGAAAAATATGAAAAAGCGGAAAGCGAAACGAGGCAAAAGCGCTCACGCTACGGTGTGTGCCAAACACGGAATTCGATGCAAATTCTCAAAACATGCCTGAATAATTTTTTAAAGAGCGGAACGGCATTTTTTGCGAAACGCGGAATGCCGAATTCCAGCCAACTCTGGCGAATCGGAAATTGACGACCGGCGACTACGAGGCGATTCGGACGAGGAAAGGGCTCTTTAGGTGCAAATTCGCAGTATTTAACGAAAACGCTTTCGATTCTCATTGAGTTCAAATTTTGATGAGAGTTCAGCAAAATATTGAGCCCATGGGTTACAAGAAAGTTTTGAACACATTCAATTTTATTTTTCAGAACGTGAGCTGAAACGGATCAAGTTCGAATGGCAACAAGTCACACGTCTAATCGATCGCTGCATTATGTTCGGTTATATCATCATAACAATTATTTTCGCTCTGGTAATGCTCGGATCCCGTGATTCAACGATCCGACTAACCGACTCCATAATGGATGCCGCTAAAGAAATCTAAGAATGTGACTCTGAATAATATTAAAAACGGGTTTATTAATTACGATATAACAATAAACAATTTTTTACAATATAACAATAAACCAAATATGGATGCAAATTTAGAAAATATATGTATTAAATCGTTTAGAGATGAAAAGGTAGGTGATGCTCTGTACTAACGCGTGCAAAAAACTCTGAAATAAAATTAGTGCAATACATTTAAAAAAAAAAAGGCGATATTCGTTTAAACCTTAATATGTGAGCTCCCTAATTAATTTTTTTTTCAAAATTCGTACACTATAGGTGATTTGTGGAGCTTGGCCAATTTGTCGTTCTCTAATGTGCTTATTAATAGTGCAAGCTTTTATCATTTCCGAAACGAATTATTCAGCTAACCGATATAACAATGCTCATATAAATATTTAGCAAACAAAAAACTCTCTGCTCATCACTTTATCGCAATTTTTATGATTGTTCGGAAGAAATTTCGCTTTTCGGATCGGTGAAACAACACTTTAATTATGGCGGGAATGAACTTTGAAAAAGAAAGTTGGCATTGATTTACAGAAGAATTTATTTCGGAACAGAATTTTAACCTTTTGATGAAAATATATTAACAGATGACTGTCTCTGATTTTTATTCGTGTCTTTGAACAGCTTTCCAATTTTTTAAAAACAAGTTCTCTGCTAAAATTCCAATTAAAGCTGAAATTTTCAGAGAAAACTGTCTAATCGTGTTATTCGAAAAAATTCAGATATCCGATTATTCATCATAATTTCACGACGTGGATTCTAGTTCCTGAATCATAATTACTCAATTAATTTTTTTAGTTATTGCAATTTTAAATTTAACAAGATTGAATTTGAAATTACCAATAAACTACCCCAATGTTAAAAAAAAAAAGAATTTGGAAATTCCAAGTATGTTCGTCTATATGAAAATATCAATAAATATTAATTATTGTAGAAAATTTCAGAAAAAGGCATCAAAATATCGTTTAATTTTTCTTTATTTATTTTCCTTTTCCGCAAATTTTGACACAGTTCGCCCCTAAATTGTCCAGATTTTCCCCCAAGCACGCTCGCCCAAAAGGGTAGGCTTTGGGCGACCTGCCCAGAAAGGCAATTTGCCGCAGACACCCGGGCGGACTGGCCCAAAATTCGCTGAGTTATACCTCCTGCTAATCCCACGCAGACAAAAAAGGCAAAGATCGGCAAAAGCAAAAAAGCAAGAAATTTCGTCAAAAATTAATCACGCCATCGTTCACCCAAAAATTTCCACCGCACTGAATTTCGCTACGAATAATAAATGAACCAGGAAAAACCGATTTCCGTCGCTTTGCTTTTATTGCAAATTCAAAAGCGATTTCTCATTTTTTTACTTCTCAAACAATAAATCGCACTTTACGAGTTCCCGACGATCAAGACCAATATTCTCCTCTTTTACGTTTTTTATATTCGGCTACTTTAAATGGCGCCAAAGTGGGAGGAGACGGCGCCGCTTATGACCGGAAATCTCGATTTTGCCCACGCCCTTCATTACGAACCTCGATATAAAGCCAAGATCTTCGTCGTGCTTGCGTTACTTCTTGATTTCTGGCTCCACTGCCACGTTCTCTGCAAATGCCTCATTTTTCTTATTTCAGTAGATAATATGTATCGCAGAATGTTTGAATACATCGATTTGGCTAATGTGAACAACACAGTCCGAAATAAAGTCGAGCCTGAGAATCGACGATCGACGATTGGCAATTTGGACGTGAACAAAATAAAAGTAATTGAGATTTGAAGGATTAATAATAATGCAGTGCATTGTTATTTTAGGTAGCACAACGAAGGGAAGAATCGTCAAAGTGCAGCGTGGTGGTTCAGCAATCTAAAGAGCCTATGAAAATTGACAAGCAGCGAAACTCGATTGGAAAAGAGAATAATGAACCACAAATGTGCCACCGTAAGTTTCTAATTTCGTAACGAACAGTGCACAAACTTCAAAAACAAAATTTATTACAAAATTTTGAATGTCCACGAAAAATCGCGCATATAACAAATTTCCCTTGTAAATAAGATGTAAAAATAGTTTTATTTTAAATATATCTATTAGGTGCATGCGAAATTGTCGAATTTGTCATTTCTACCCAATGAAATACATAAAATTTATCAAATTTGCCGCTAAAAGCAAATATTGCATGTCGCTGAATGGTTCCATAAATATTATCATCGCAAAAAAAAAACGGGCACCACCGATATCTGGTTCATCGTATTTTGCGTGGGAATCTGGGTACAGCACTACGGAAAATTCGTCGTAAATCTGCACAGGGTGCTGTTTTCGCGATTGTAATACGCGAACGTTCACTAATTAATATAAACAACATGCGCATTCTCACTAAAAATAATAAACTATAATCCGAGGATTAGGCCCGCTTTTCTTTTTCTCGATTATTGTATGTAATTAAGCTTTCTAATGCTATCATCCAAAAACTGCACAACTTGTTCGAATCAACGTATTTCCGCCAAGATTTTGAATATTAATTTTTCATGCATTGTGGGTTAGATAGCTCAAAATCTTGAAAATTTAATGATCAATCAGTTCCTTGACAGATATTTTGCTGACTAGTTAATGAGGAAGAATAGCATATGAAACGTACGTTTTTAAAGTAGTAATGCTTGTCATTTTGAAAAAAAAAATCATAGATTTTAAAATGAGATCTAATGAATGTCGTTTGAATTGGACCCTTTTACTTCTATTTCTCAATTATCCTGTATGAAAGTGTCGTCATTTATAAGCGGTCATACTCAGGTCGATGTTTGAACCCAGCTTAAAATAAATCACACTTCCAAGTAATAGCTAGCAAATTACTACTCACATAACTCATTTTGCAGTTACCAATTGAATAATACAATTAGTTTTTTTTGAAATACTTCTAATTGACGCGAGAAATTTGTCATTTTAGTCATATTTGAATGCTTGCTGGTGAGTAAATTTTCATATGTAGTTTATTTCTATGAAGGTTATGAAGTTAAAAGTTTCACAAATGAAAAACGAAAAACATTTTTATATTTGAAAAATATTGAAAATTTAGTGAAACAAATCGCCGCGGAAACTTCTCGACTCTCTGAGAGACAACGCGAAATCCTGCGAACAACATTCATCAACATCGAGAAAGATGCCGTTAAAAATGGTCTTAAGATCTTTGTCAAGTGAGAATTTCCATTCAAAACTCATATTTCTAAACAAAATTTGCAGATTATTCTCTGAATATCCACGTTATAAGTTAATCTGGGCGCAATTTCGCGTTGTTCCCGAATCGTCGTTAATGAATGCTGTCGAGCTACGGTAGGTGAAAAAAAAAGACTTCCGTTGAAATTAAATAAAGGAAATGCAAACGATGAATTTCAGACGGCACGCATCAATTTATATCAAAGGGCTTGGAACGATTATAGAAAGCATGAGAGATGAAGAAGAGTTAACAAAGCAATTGACAAGAATAGCAGTGGCGCATATCAAGTGGAACGTCCAAAGGAATCATGTTATTGTACGTTCTTAAAATAAATAGCTAATAGAGTTCCGTTATTTTTCGTATTTTCGCCAAAATTATAAACATAACTAACTTTAACTCAACATATATTTTTAAGCACATGATCGAACCAGTTTTGGATGTTGTCAAAGAATGCAATGGATATCAATTAGATGAGCATACTAAGGAAGCATGGATAACCCTCTATCAAGTGATTGCGAATTTCATCGAGGTGTTTCGAAACAAGGCATTAACCAATTAATTGTCATTTCCAAATGTTAAAAAAAAACATCGAATGTCATTTAAGCAGTGCATACTATAAATTCAACGAGTGTGCAAGACCGATGCTTAATTTTTACAGACACACATCGTTTTTGGATTTATAGTAGATTTGAACAAAACACGAGCCCATCTTCACCATTGTATGCATATTTTGCTTTTTTTTTCAACATATTGCCGAAGTCAAACGACTTGATTATTCAGTCAAAGATTAATTCAAATCTACACTGATTTCGCGAATTTGAAGGCTCCGCCTCCCTTCAGTCGTTTGACGCCGACAATAATTATACATATTTGGAAATAAAATGTACATACCTTCAGTTCTCAAAGATTCCATTTCTAAGTGAGCAGAAACCTGTATGATATTAATTCGTTGCTGAAAAAATGAAAATATTTCCTAATAATTCCAAAAACATTAAAATACCTCGATTTCTTCATGATACCTCATAGCCAAAAAATGAGTTTTTTTCGCCTTCAGTAGTTTTTCTTCGTGATTTAATTTTCGAACCATATCCGTAACCTCATGTTTTATGGCCATTAATGTGCTGCCCCGCTATATAAAAAAAAACAATGCAGAAAAATTGAAAATTTTTGATACATAACGAGAATGGAATGAAGTTTCCCATGAAAATTGTAAATTTCGAATGCTCACTAAAGGAATTATTTCATAGAATGAATTGAGAATTGCACCATAATTGATCTGGTAATTATTAATTAAGAAACAGTTTTTATATTGTACCTACAGCTGACATTTGCGCTCCGGATCGATTTCCATTAGGACACCAAGCATTTCCCACAACGGGCAACTTTTCAAACGTCTCTTGAACTTTTACGGCATTATTCAATTCAAGAATAATATTTTGAATCCTAAAAGAAATGCATTATTTAGTGAATGAGACGTTTTCGAGTACGCATTTCCGAAAACCTCGTTAGGCGGTAGTTGATCACGTATTGGAGAAATATTATTGAAAAACTTATTTTTTAATTCGAGAATTTTTTCGGTATTTTTCACATTTTTCCATGGCAACGTGTCGATTCCAATGGTATACAAAAAGTAAACGACTGATTCAAGAATATCGAATTCCGACATTTGGTGAACTGAAATTTATTGCCGGTAAGCACAAATGAAAAATAAGGCGTAACCTTTTTAAATTCTCTTTTAAATTTAGATTCATGCAATGTTTTCAATTTTTTTTAACATGCACTACTAACATTCTGGGTTTTCATGAAACTTTCTTGGTGCATACAAGAAATCTCCAAGCCATCCACAATCGAATTCGTTCGAGGTCGACTTTTTAAAAACTCCATTCGAGTAACGTTTGTCAGTGAGAACTCCGATCTAGAATTTAAGTCAATACGCAATTATGATTGTTCATTGGAAGAGGATGAATAAAATTTTTACATAAAAAACTTACGTTTGATAAATTCGCGAGATAAATCATTCTAGATTTTGTGTTGAATTTCCAGTCACTGACGTCGAAATCTCTGAGAACGTAACCGGTTGAAATTAGAATTTCAAGTGTCTAAAAATGACGTTTAATTTTATTTGACTAGAAAAATTACTTGTATGATATCAATTGCAAGCAAAACAATAGTATTCAAGTAAACAACTTCATCTTCAGGTTCGCATTTCAGACAATCTTCCAGAGAGACTCCTTCGCTGAATAAAATTGGATATAAAATAATTGGATTTGCAAAGTTTATACGGTTCTTGAAAAATTATGTAGTGAACATTATTATTAATCACAGATGCATCGAGAATTGTCGGAAAACGATGACTACTTCCGTTTGACTTTTGCTAAACCAAAAGAAAAGGTGGAAATTTACACATCGTAGCAAACTTTCACTAAAAAGTCTAGTTGAATGTCTAATGGAGACCAATCAAACTCCGAAACGCATAAACTCAATTTTCCCTGGAACACTTACAATTTATAACATTTATAAAATTTTAAATACTTACAAAATTCTTAATACTTTTATCGCAAACTAAATAACAATATACTGATTCGTGGCATTCAAGTTGTTTGAGAATCTAAAGTTTTTAATATGTTTCAAAATTAATTTGATTTCACTTACAATCCATTTTTCAAGAAAAAGAGACTTTAGTCGTAAATTGGAAATTTCCTCATCAAGATATTTGCGAATCTTCATTGGCTTTTCGATATTGTCACTTTCTAGAATTCTTTTCTGAAAATTTATAATTTTCAAGAAAAGAAACGTTGCCTACCTGAGCCATTTTGAAAACTTATCGCCAGACGAACTGCAATTGATAAAAGTACGGTAATGAAAAAATCTGTCCAAAATTAATTTATGATTATCTCTAAACGAAAACAGTAACTGGACAATTTTTTAAAATTTTTACGCATTTTTATTCGTTCCTTTCGTTAGACAAAAAAATCTACTAGATATTTCTATAACCTAAAATAAATGCGCAATCCAGCGATTCGTCCTGTTTTTTACCGGTATACAATGGTAAAAACAACTCTACAGTTTCTCTCAAATCGTTTAAATTCTTATATTGAAATCTCATAATTTTTATTTTATTTGCCGGTATTTATTACATGCGGGGATCTTAAATGCATTTTTCCCGCGGAGAAGTATAACTAATCGCGTGGGAGTATTTATCTGCATATTTACCCAAAATTGTTATTAATTATTGTTGGCGTCAAACGACTTGACGAAATTAAAAAAAAATTATTGGCTATGTGCCAATGCTTCTCAAGGCAGCGAGAAGTCCGTAAGACTACGTACATTGCATTATACAGTAGTGTACGCGCATTTAATACTCAGTCAACGATAAATTGAAATCAATTGCATAAAAATTAAGAAATGAGAAATCAAAAAAAAGAGAAAATAAAAATGATATTAATTTATAAAAAATGACAAGTGGTGTTCTACGTGAACTTCTCCGAAGGACCCATTTCTATGCTAAGAGATAAAAAGTTAGCAAGCGATCAGACAACTATGAGCGACATGGCGACGAAGAATGTTATCGAAATTGAGGATGCTGTAGAAGTAGGGCCTCCTCGAAAGCGAGTCAAATTCAATCATTTCGCCGAGGAGGTCCTCTTCGTGGTCGTCGAAGGTCCGTCCATTTATTATTTTCGTTGGTTGGTTGACTTGATTTATTGGGCTTGGGCTAGATCGGCTGATAGGAAAGGAATTGTTCGGAACATTCGGCATACATCCGTCCATTCTGAAACAAGCCATTGATTACTGATGGTGTATTTCGCCCAAACGATTTCTCGCCCTATCAGTCGTATAGGTATTGAGTTATTCGAAAAAAAATCGCCTTCTAATCATAATTTCATTATTTCCAATGGTTTTTTAAACAAAAATCAGAATTTTAATTATTTTCATCCGAAATTCCGTCTTCCAAACAATCAATAAGAAAATCAATAGATATTTCAAACGTTTTAAAATCAATTTCATTTTGACTTCAATTAATAATTATCATAATTACCCTCATATCAATAGAAGGCTACTTTTTTGGATTGTTTTTTGTATATATTTGTTGTTGTTTATTTATTTCTCGGGGAGGTTGGGATAATCAAGATTTTTAAAACCATATTTTAAATCCGCGGAAAATTTCCAGCGAAATTCGCTTTTTTGGAGCGATTTTTTGCTTTTTTGGAGCAAAATTTATCATATTTGGGTTTTTTTTTTCAAAAGGAGAGGGGAAGAGGAAGGAAAAAACTACAATATACATCAAAGAAAGATGAAAGATTAAAATGAAAATGAGTTTTACCTAAATTGATTTTTTTGTTGTTGAATTTTCGACTTCAACAATATTTTCTCTTGAAAAGTCTTTAAAGGTACACTTTCCTCGAGAGTAATACTGATGGTTTTTCTCGGAAATGTCCTGCGATGTCGTCTTTGATTCTGCCTTTCGAATCTTTCTACGTTGATCTTGCGAAAGTGTCAGTTCATGCGCCTTTGAAGGCTTTTCACAATTTGGAGCTCTTGAAAAAATTCAGCGGACTTCTGAAATCTCATATATTTAGGGCCGAGGAAAGGAGTGAAGAGGACGAGAGTCAACGGGCCGGAGATTCGGAAGGTGAAGGTGGATGTGAACGAGTCGCCGGCGAAGAGGAGACGACCGAAGGAAGTGTCGCAGGAGGAGATGCTGGCCACGTTCGGCACCGATGCCGAGCCAATCGAGATCGACACGACGCCGCACAGCTATTTTTGCTATCGATACTGTGTGGCCGGTTGTGCGCATGACTGCCCGTGCCGAAAAGATCAGGTGCGGTGCTGCCCGCGGTGCCCGTGCAATCCCCGCACGTGCACCAATTACGATCTGGAGCGGGAGCACCAACGGCGGTCGGCGAGAGCATCGAGGGTTGAGCGTAGGCGGACGGCGAATCGGGAGTGGGCCGCGATGGAGCCGGTGACGGATGGAATGGCGGAGCAGGAGTGACGGTTGGCGGAGAAGGCGGCGGCGGCGGCGGCGTTGGTGAAGCCGAGATGGAGCGTGTTTGCGGAGGAGGATGAGGATGAGCCCGAGGAGAAGAAGGCGATAGTGTTCCCGGAAGAGGATGAGGAGGAGACGATATCGGAGATGGCGGAGGTTGTGGCGGTGGGAGAGCTGGAAGAGCTGGAAGAGCAGGAAAGCGGCGCGCTTGTGAGGACGCCAGAAGAGCCGGAGGTGGTGCTCGCGCGCACTCCGGAGGCCGAGCAAGTGGAAAATCCGGCGGTGTTAGAGCCGGTCTACTTTCACCCTGAGGTGTGTGGCGCATTGCGCGGTCTGATCGCAAGTGAAGACCGGCCACAAGGGCGCCAATTCTTAACATCTGGCGCCGTTTTCGCCGGACTCTTAAATCTGGTGAAGACGGCAAATATTGGTGTGGTTTGGCCGTCTGCCATGAAAGTAGTGGTCGACGAGGAGGAGCAAGATCCGGAGCATATCGCAATTATGCTCAAACGGTGCACCGCTGGGGTGCGCCGTGAGGCTGAGGTCGTATTCATGCCAGTGCATTTCCATCAGCACTGGCTCCTCGCCTCATACAAGACGGCAAGTGGCAAGTGCGTCATTTATGACTCACTTGCTGCGAATCGCCTGCCGAGCGACCGCAAGAAGATCTCGGTCGCAGTGAAGCGGGCGTTGGCGGCGTTGTATCCAGAAGTCTTGTCGTCCGTGCGCTGGGCGCCAAAACACCATCAAATGGCGCAGACGGATGGATACAACTGCGGCATTCATGTCATCGAGAATGCCCGAAGAGTCCTGGAGAGAAACAACACCAACCTGGCCGGAGGAGAACACATCGACATGGAGGGGAAACGTGAACTTCTACGATTTATCGTGGAAGGCTTCATTCCGCAGCTGGGTAGGTTCCTTCATCTCGTTTCTAGCTTGCAACGGAGTTTTCGTTGAATTTTGGAAGCACTTCTTGCGAAAAAATTACCGAAATTTAACGATTTTCTGATTTACACTAAACAACGGTCGCTGTGTTAATGGCGGAGTGTCGTACAAAATCCAAAATTTGCTTGCAGAAGCAATTGCGGATGAAGCTACGAGGAACCCGCCATGTCCGGATGTTGGCGTGTGGACGACAACAAGACCGACGAGACGCGCGTCAACGGATGCCAAAGGCCGTATCCAGAGGCTCTACCGCCAAAAACTTGTTTAATAAAAAAAATTAAAATAAAAAACAAAAAATATTTAAAAAAAAAAAACAATAAAAATTAAAAAAAAAAAAAAAAAAAAAAATAAAAAAAAAAAAAAAAAAAAAAAAAAAAAAAAAAAAAAAAAAAAACAAAAAAATTAAAAAAAAAAAAAAAAAAAATTTAAAAAAAAAAAAAAAAATTTAATAAATTAACAAAAAACTAAACAAAAAAAACTTTAAAAAATAAACAAAAAATAAAAAAAAAACAAAAAAAAAACAATTGGAAAAAAAAACAAAAAAATAAAAAAAAAGTATATATTGTCCTATATTAGGACACCCTATAAGAGAGATTGATGAGAATGCTCAAAAATTTGATTTCGACGCTGATGATCATCAAAACGAGCCGAAGAATATTTCAATTCCTCGGTTACAAGGATCACCGAACAAATGAAATCGATCCGAGTGATTGAATGAGAGCACAAGATGAATGTGCTCATGCAATGGTGAGTATTCTGAAAACAATTCCCTTCGATCTCATCTTCTTCAGTTGGAATTGCATTCGAAAATTGAAAAACGACGGAAAATTGATCAATCCGAAGAAGATTTCATTAATGGAATAGAACGAGTCGATCAGAAGAATGGAAGATATCTGTCGAAGTGGCTGAGCACAAGATGATGGTGCGAACCGAATGGTGAGTTGTGCAATTTGAGCACTGAGTAAACTGTGTCTCACATCAGGATTAAATCGAAATCCATAACATAAAAAGGATGAAAGATAAAAGCTGTGAAATCACAATTCTTAAAATGGATTGGCTAAATAAAGCATCAAATTTAATTTCCCCCCTAGTTTTCTTATATTTTATTTATTTTCATTTGTTTTTTTTTTTCTATTTTTAATTATCCACTACCCCTTTTTATTTAATATTTCTCTTATTTTAGAACGACGGACATATTTTATTGTAAAAAAAAAGAAAAAAAGATCCAAATGTCGTTCAAATTTTTTTGTGTTTATGTTCAAGTTTTTCAATGATCCTAAGAAAACGACTGGACAAAATGAGTTGTAAAAAAATAATGAAAAGATCCAATGTCGTTAAAAAAAATCATTTTTATTCTATTGATTATTCTATTTTATTTGTACTTCTTTTTGTTCAATTGGGATCTCTGATTTCTGAAGGGATCGGATGAATCACATCGTGGCTCTCAAATGTAAGACATTCAATTAACATCTCAAACAAATAGATAATCTCATTTCAGATTAAAACTGACACACAATGTCGAGATAAGAGAACCTGGAATTGAAGCCGATGATGTGCTGAAGGGAATCAGATCAGCAATTGATTCTCAATTGAAAACGGAAGGGGCAAGAAAGTAAGAAAGAACTTTTCAAAAATCATTTATTGATTGATATTTTGTAGTATTCATAAATGCCTGAACTTCGAAAAAAATGAAACAAAACAATTTGATCGAAGCTGAAAATATTGAGAAATGAAGTAGAAGAAGATGTCTGAAGGATGAAGCACGAATCGAAGTAGGATTTAATGTGAAGATACTTGAAGGTGCCCTTTGTATTATCATTATTCCCATTTTTCCCCACCCCTTTTGCGACCCCCTTTATTCCATTTATTATAGTTTAAAGACTGAAAAAAAGATTAAAAAAAGAAAAGAACATTTATTTGCAATATTTTTTATAAAGCGAAAGGACAATTTTAATTGTAAAAAAAAATTAAAAAGATCCAATGTCGCTACAATTATATCATTTTAATTGTAATTTTATTTATTCTTGTGTATTTTATTTGTATTATTGATTCAATCTTCTTTGGGATCCTTGCTTTATTTTTTAAAGGATCGGATGCAACACCAAAATCGAATGAAATGTAAGCGATTTTTTCGAATTTCTCATCAAAATAAAATATTTCAGTGCAAAGACTTCAAAAAAAGCAAGCAATTGTTCGAATCGAAGAAAAAGGTTTCAAAAAATGAAAATGGAAAAAGGTCACGCGAATTGGAATTGGAGATCGAGGGGGTTTGATTGGTTTTTGATGGACGAATCGTTGATAGGATTGTGAGCAAATGATTCTTTGAAATTTCATCGAAATTCTTGGGAAAACTATTTCGCTAATTTTTCTGGGTCCGATAATGATTGTGGAAGGTAATGTCCCACAATCGGATGGCTATGATAATAATTATTACTAGAAAAGTAAAGAAAAATGCGCGAATTCGATAATTCGATTAAATTCGAAGATTTTGAAAAGTTTCTATTTTTTTGCATTTTTTAGCCCGATGATGATTGTGGAAGGTAACGTCCCACAATCGGATGGCAGTGGGTTAACGTGCGGATTGAGAGGTCTTTGCGAAATCCGGCTAAAAAATGATGTGATTTTAATAGAAAAACCCATTCAATTTTAAAATTGACCAATTCGAAACATTTATTTTGCTAAAAATGTCGCATGTATAGTCGGGGGGAGGGGGTTACTATGGTTCCTAATAGTTATTTCCACGAAAAAAAAAGTAAAGAAATAGAATACCTTAGTAGAATGAGTTATTGTCGCTCCTCCCCCGCATATTTTTTCGCTGTTGAATATTTATAGGCGTTTCTTCTGTGTACCTTTAAAATATACATTTACTTTTGCTTGAAAAGTTTCCCGATTCCTCATCTGTGATATCTTTGTCAAGAGCGAACAGAATTCGAGTGGGCGTAGCTTATTATTCAAATTTCGGCACCATGATCTTAAAATAATTTTCGATTTTATCTAGTATTAAATGCATTGAAAATTATGGTATAGTATTTCAAAGACGCATGCGAAAATTTGTTGATTTCGCGTTAAGATCAAAAATGACGAAATCGATTATCGATCATCGATTAATTTTCAAATTCGAAAAAGCGTTTTTTATTTTTATTTTTTTTTTTGCATTTTTTAGCCCGATGATAGTTGTGGAATATAATGCCCCGCAATCGGAGGGCAGTGGGTTAATGATTGAGAGAATTGAATTTCCAATCGTAGTATCGGCGAAATTTGGCTAGAAAATGATGTGGTTTTAATAGAAAAACAGATTTAATTTTAAAATTGTCCAATTCGACACATTAATTATACTATAAATTTCGCACATATAATTTTATGTTCATTTTTAGCCCGATGATGATTATTTAAAGTAGTGTCTCACAATCGGAGGTCAGTGAAAATACCTAAGAAGACTTGATAAGGTATTATGCAAATTTGGCAATTTAATTCGTTTCAAAAATTTTGTGGAAAAGTCGTTAGAATTTCTCGATTTTATTACGAAATTCGAAGTCGAATTTTCTATTACTCGCAGTTTTTAGCCCATTAAAATCGCATCGAAACCGGAAAATCCCGATGATGATTTGAGGGTAGAGGGTTTTCGATATACATTTCAGTTTTTATCTTTTTGGGCATCCTTGACTCGATGGTTGAATAATCGGATGCGACACAAGAATCGAATGAAATGCAAGCGATTTTTTTTTTCGAATGTCTCATCAAAATCAAGTTTTTCAGTTCGAAATGTTAAACGAAAACCAATTGAGTTTGGAAAATAAGAAATGAAAACCAAATGAGGATCTGATTTTGTTTAGGACGAGTAGAATCTCGGAATTTCGTTTGGAAGAGAAATGAATCGGACGATCGACATTTGAACTTTGATTCAAAAGTATTTGAGTGGTTTTTTTCTACATAGGATGTTTTGCAACTCGACAAAATTTATTCTAAGATTGGGTTTTGATCTTTAGTTTTTCAATAAACATTAACGCAGTGTAGTTTTTGCCTCAGGTAACTGAAAATCAATCAGATTCAAAAAATTATTCGATTCGATTCGGAAAGAGTATAAATTCGAATTCAAATCTGGTTTCGATTTTTTAAAATCTTTATGATCGAT